AGATTAATATTCACAGTGGAGGTCACGTAGATCATTTGCGCTGAGGTGTTGAACAGCAAACACGTAGTGTAGTAAGTCCCTCACAGATGGTGTTATGAGGGGCATCACGTGGTGTAGTAGTTCCCTCACAGGTGGTGTTATGAGGGGCCTCACATGGTGTAGTAATTCCCTCACAGACGGTGTTATGATGGGACTGACGTGGTGTAGTAATTCCCTCACAGACGGTGTTATGAGGGGCCTCACATAGTGTAGTAATTCCCTCACAGATGGTGTTATGAGGGGCCTGACGTGGTGTAGTAATTCCCTCACATGGTGTGGTAATTCCCTCAGATGGTGTTATGAGGGGCTTGACATGGTGTAGTAATTCCCTTACAGATGGTGTTATGAGGGGTGTGACGTGGTGTAGTAATTCCCTCATAGATAGTGTTATGAGGGGCCTCACGTGGTGTAGTAATTCCCTCACAGATGGTGTTATGGGGGGCCTGACGTGGTGTAGTAATTCCCTCACAGATGGTGTTTTGAGGGGCCTCACATGGTGTGGTAATTCCCTCAGATGGTGTTATGAGGGGCTTGACATGGTGTAGTAATTCCCTCATAGATGGTGTTATTAGGGGCCTCACGTGTTGCTGTAGCAACTCATTCACTACGTGGTGTCGTAGTATCATGGGGACACCACGTGGTCTGGTGTCACAGGACCTCACTCACTCAAGTGAGTGAGGTGTGGTCCCAAGCCTCTGTATCGTGGACGGATTAACACATAGCTGGTGTTGTTGAGTCTCAGGGGCAGTTATCACTGGGTACCTGGGACCTCACTGTGTGAAGGTTAGCTTGGGTAAGATTCAGCTGTTACTGCCGAGTTGTTTTTCACTGACTTAAGCACTGTTCACCACTATTTAACACTGGTTCCATTCCTTTCCTAAATGAAATAGTAACTTCTGGCGAGAACTTGTTGATATTACGGTGGGGAGGAGGGGTTCAGGGAAGGGAGTTGGTGTGGGCCAACATAACAGTTGACCTGGCTGCTGCCAGAACAGCGCCACGTACGTCTTGACCCTTCGGTGGTCAAGGATGAAGTGCAGTCAAGGTTGACCCCTCAGTTACCTGAGACAACGAAGACAAACTGCTTGGTCAACTGAGACACCCTTAGATAACCCAAAACTATAACCCCTTACATTTTTTTTTTTACGGGAATTAGCCCACCCGGGCACAGGTCAAATGACCCACAATGGGGCCTGGAGGGCGAAAAAAAAAGAACAGAAAGAAATTTAAAATAGAGAAGAAAAAGGTTATACTGTGTTAATCTACACCACGAAGATGCCGGAAAACCAACTTTTTAAAGTGAGACAGATTGTATAAGTATGGAAACACAGAAGAAGGCAGAGCATTCCACAGTTTGGCTGTGTGAGGAAAGAAGGATGTACTGTAACGGGTTATTCAAGTGTGACCAACATTCACAGAGAAATGGTGGGCACCGCGGGCAAGACGTGTGTTACGAGCCCACGGCCTTGCCGACGGTACACAGGATGCCAAATCCACCGAACATTGCCCGTTAAAGTACCTGTAAAAGAGAGGGAGTGAAGGAACTTTGCGGCGAAGAGAAATGGAAGAGAGAGTGTCGACTAAAGGAGGAGAGTTAATAAGATGAAATGCCTTTGATTCCACCCTATCTAATAGTTGGACAAAAGAAGAGCCACCCCAGATATGAGAGCAGTACTCCAAGTTAAGACGAATGAAACCCTTTTATACTTGGAGCAACTGCTCAGAAGTGAAGTAGCTACGGCATCTGTAAGACTAACCCCTTACATACTCAAGACTAACCCCTTGCATACTCAAGACTAACTCCTTACACACCCAAGACTCACCCCTTGGTCACCTAAGACTAACCCCTTGGTAACCTAAGACTAACCCCTTGGTAACATAATACTTACCCCTTGCTCACCCAAAACTAACTCCTTGGTCACGTAAGACACCAAAGACTAACCTCACAGTGATTTTCAACCTTTTTCACAGTGATATCTGGATGGTCTGTCACTCGTTACGATCTTCAAGATTGAGGTGCTTCCCCATCCGGAGTATTGTCACCCCGTCTGGTCCTCGAGGTATGCTAGAGATTGTTAATTGATTGAAAATGTCCAAAGGAGGGTCACCAGACTGGTTCCTGTTCTACGGAACCTCAGTTACCCAGAGAGATTGGAGCGCCTGCACATACTTGGAGCTGGCGGACGTCTGCCCCACAAAGGGTCACAGCTCAAGATTGAAGAAGCCACAAGTCCTGAAAACTGTGAGGACAATTTTTTTTCTTGGAGTGAGAATTGTGAACTCTTGGAACAATCTGCCGGAGAGCATTGTGACGGCACCGAGTGTGAGCTCATTCAAGGCCAAACTTGATGAACGCTGGAGCAGGTTCCGATATATTCAGGAGCCAAAGCATGCCCAGTACTTGCCAACAGTGCATATCAGAGACGTGACCGACCGCCCAAGCAGCTGACGAGCCGATCAGTGGTGAAGAGGATAAAAGTAAAAGAGTCACCTTTGGGACGCTCTTCCACGAACTGGGACACCACATTATGTGGCTGAACAAATATGCTATACACAGGGATCAGAAGACAAACACACACACACAAAAAAAAATAAAAATAAATATAAAAAATAAATCAAGAGATACTCACAATAGTTGTGGCACAGCCCGCTCTCTCGTGCACGAGCTTCTGGAAATTGACCATATCCCGCTATTCCAGATTCTACAAAATGATAATGCCGAGCCATCACCTGTTAGGGATAGAATAGCATCAGGGGTACAGGGTACTTAAAAATAGCCCCCCTCCCCCCCTACTTCTCCCTGTCGACAATAATCTACTTGAAAATGTGTTTGTTTTTATTTTATTTGTTATATTTTTACTTTTTATTATTGGTATTTAATATATTTATCCACTCCACTCTGGAATGAGGATATTTTTTTTATTATTATTTCTTTCATATTATTGTTAAAAAAAAATTGCACACAACTAAGGCAATTGTGTTTTTAGAAATTTAGATGAGCAGAGTTACCGAGAAAACAATAAAGAACATGTAAAAAAGTGAATAGTCGGAGTGTGAAGGCCACAAGCTCCACCGTCACCAGCGACGATGGCCCCCTACCCTCTTTTATTTTTCAACATAAACTAAAATACAGTACAGTACAAGATTTTTTGTTACAAAAAATAAAATAAATTATTGCATTTTAAAAATTAGTCACTTGTGTCTGTGACTATGCAGACTGCTCTTTGGCACATATTTTGCTGTGTTTTATTCATTATTACAGTAATTAGTATTTGAATTGTATTAAACTAACTGTAAAAGTAAATGGCATCTATCAAGTTCGAAGAAATCATGCTTAATAAAATAAACAACCATAGAAATGACACAACAGTGTTCATTATTCAATTAATGGCTTTTTTTATTGTTGTGTTTCATATATCAGCTCATCCCAAAAGAGAGTGATCTCTTCTTGGAGAGCGCTCCGCGTAACTGTTGACGTCCAGGAGGCAGTTCCGTTTCTTTGTTTTGACATCAATAAGAGCTGAAAATCCTTTTTCCGACTGGTATGTGGTCGGCAAATGAACAAGAGTAGTCATGAGTTCCTTGGCCAGTCAGTATTCAGATAGTTTCAGAAGAGACATCCAGAAATCTCCATATTAAGATGTTCCAGCAAAGAGAGAATTCTGGGCAAAATCTGCACTCAGGTTGAGGAGGGCTTCCTTGTTTTGCACGCGATATGACCGGACATGCTACATCAATTCCAGGTGACTTGCAATGATGGTCCTCATCTTTTTGTCCAGATTTGGAGAGGGTTCCTCCCATTTGCAGTTTCTGAAGAATTGGTCTAGTTCTTCAGAGGGAGTAAAATTCATCTCGTCGATACAGCTCTTCCAGTGTCGCAGTTTCAGCTTGAACCCCTGCACCTTACTGAAGGCCTCAAACACATCACCCCCTTTTCCCTGCATGGAGAGGTTCAGCTTGTTGAAAAGTACAATAATGGAAGCCATGTAGTAGTCTTGCCAGCCAATACAAATCACCTAACTTTTGAGTCTTAGCCTCATCATTCATGAAAAATTCTTGCAGCTCATAATTCAATTTTAACATGCGAGAGAGGACTTAGCCCCTTCTGTGTGGAAGATCAGCTTCTTGTAAGTAGAGTCCATGCCCTCACAGAGGTCAGTGAACATGTGAGCCGCTTTTGGATGAACACAGATGCTACTGACAAAGCCAATAATGTCCTGCAATAGTTTCTTGTTGTCAGTCTTCTTGTCTTTCTCCCCTGCATGGCGCAGCACTCAGGGAAGACAGCCTTGATCTGCTCTTCTATACTACTCCTTACCAAGCTCCTGTCATTGCTGCTGCCCCTCCCCTCACCTGTGGTAAGACACAAATTTTTTTCAATCCAAACGTGATTCTTCAATCAATTCGTTTACTTTTTGAAAATTTTTTGTCCCAGTGATTTGAACACCAACTGATTGATAGAAAAAGAAAAACTCTGCAATTTTCCCTTTCTCGGTGTTGGGAAAGGGACAGCAGGCGATCAGTTGAGCAATTGGTGATTTGGTTTGCCTTTGCTGGAGGTAGTCTTGTCCTAGCCAAAAAAATTCAGAAACCGATTGTTCGACACATTCTGGGCCACCCCAATGAGCCGGGTAACTCCTGGGTCACCCCAGCCAGCCGGGTCACCTCTGGCCCTGGTCTAGGTCACCCCAGTTGAAAAGCAGTGACTTAAGACACCCAAGACTAATCTCTTGGTCAACCGAAACACCCAAGACTAACCCCTTGGTCACCTGTGACTGTGAAGACTAACTTCTTGGTCATTTGAGACAACCAAGACTTACACACCCAAGACACCAAAGTTTAACCCACTGGTCACCTGAGACATCTTATGGTTAACATCTTGGTCACATTAAACAACTAAGAAATGTACCAATATGGTTATGTTTAGATATTATAAAGGCACTAAAAATAGTTGGTAGGAATTAACAAAGGTAATGTTTAATTAAAAAGCAGATTTTCTCATTGAAACAAAGTTGTAACTACAGTAGTAGTTCATAAGTACATCTAGTAGCTTTTCATACTTCACAATATATACACTAAAATTAATTAAGTCCCTACATTCACTTCTCAGTAATGAACATGATATTATACAATTATGTGCATGAAAGATCTGTTGGCACCAACATTATCAAAAAGCTAAAATCTATATATAAATGGGCACTACATACCCAAACATCATTACCAACAGGACTACTAAAAGTAAGTACTATTCTTAACATTTTGAAATATTTTTTTTTTACACACTTAAACTTTGTAACACTATTACACATAATTAGCTTCTCAATCATATTCACAAAAGTTCAGAAAAAAGCCAGCATGACACTAATAGTCTAACTGAAGAGTTGGCACTTATAAAAACTAAATTCTCATTTGAAATCATTGAAAATCATAAAATCTACAGCACCATTGGATTTCAGAGAACAAGTCTCTAAAAGTTTTAAAATTAATTTCAATCAGGTAAATTGTTTTGGTATGTAACACCATTCTCAACTTTGGCTTGGCACATAACCAAAGTTATTACTGTATAAATACTTAATTTTTAACCTTTCATTAAACAACTACAAACAATAATATGTAACTGTTGACAGGTCTTATCTTGCCTCTGCTGTGTGCTTCTTTTTCAACCTGTAGTTCTGTCATATTATTGTGGTAACAATTACAAAATATATTATACAAAATAAAAAATAAAACTTCAGGTTAACTTATTTTAACAGCATGTTTAGCGCATTGAAATCTTCTGTACAAGATGGTCATTATGGTTAGAATATTTACATTACATTTACCATTGTTAATTGTTGAAAGAATTTTCTGGTCCTTTATCTTCATTATACTTTGTATCTTTATATCAATTCATGTAAACATGATTTGTACTACCATGAAATGTTTGAACACATCTGAAGACGACCAAGAAATTAGGTTATTGGATGAGTAAAAAGCAGACACTGTCAACAAACCAATTACTGAAATGGACAAGCATTAAGAAGAACATTCTGTAATCGGTACATGTCAGTCCAATCGCGCCGTTCACTGTTGAGAACAATATTGCGGATACAGCCTTTAAAGTTGTCACGAGCTGTCAATGTTCCTTGTAGAGCAGCATCTGTAAAAATTAAACATTAAAACTGTATTTTAACCCTTTAGCAACTCTAGGTAACAAATTTCAAACAGTTTTTTTTTTCCTTGGGGACTTTATTCAACTTAAGTCCACAGCTGTAATCTTAAACTGAGGGGAGGGGTTCTCCATGCCTGTCCTGGTGTATCTGATAGCATTAATGCACTAACAGGAATAGATTCACTTTCAATTGGGCAAGGGTGACTGCAACATAGTATTGAAATCACTGGCAATCACAGGAAGCAATTCAAAAAAATTTGGTCAAATTACATACTGTACTGCAGATGTTGTAAAATTTGGCTGTATATTTGAAAATTTTCCAGTATAGTTCTATGATCGGAAATATGAATGTCGATATCCATGACCAATTTATAACACTGCCTCACACATGAAACACCTCTTCTTTTTGTAAATGATATTACTCATGGCTGTATGCTAACCAGTGGTACATAGGATGTTTGAAGGAGGTTTCACAACTGAGTAAATATAAAGTTGAACTGATATCACCAAAATATGACCAAAAAAGATTCTAATAGGCTGCCAATATCTTTTAACACATAATGATTAACAAGGCAGTTTCAGTCAATTGAATTTCAGAGGCTTTTGTTGCATTCTTAATCCCATAAATTTTTAATTATTGTTCAGTTGTAGTCAGTGTATGTAACTATGGCTGGATCAAATGTGCTAAGTCAATAGAAGGAAGGAAGAATCTCTGCATTATGCAGACCTTAGGCTTCAGGCATGGTTGGCACCCCTCCCACCCTGCAAGGTATATTCGGAAACATTTAAAAAACAAATAAAAAGCAATTCTAGTCTTACGAACTGGTCGTGCATGATATAAATAGGAAATAAATACGTGTCCTTACCACAGGATGGCAATAAGGGTTAGGAAAAGTCGAGAATGTTTGTGAAGTGGTGTGTGTGTAATGCAGACATGTGCTTGGGGGTATAAATACATGGTGAAGTAAGTCAAGTCCAAGGGCATGAATCCTACATCATTAAAGCTGAGAAGAGATTGGGAGGCTCTCAAGTGTGAGTGAGTGAGATATAAATACATGTACGTACTTGGCAACATAATATAGCCAGGCCCGCCCTTTTTTATTACAATACTCCCACAATAAATCAAAATGCCATATGAAGTGATCCAAAGCCTAGGAGTTAAAGCCACAAAATTGAACAAGAAATAAGCAAGTCAATATTATAAAATCTTGCGACAAATTTGTATTACGAAGTCTGATCTTTAAAACTATTTTCTATTGATATTTGTGGATTTTATTGTCAATATACTGTACAGAGATGCTACAGCAGAAGTATAATTTAATGGCTCTCCCACTGCCTTTGCCGTATATGTACAAGCAAAGTTATTTGTAAAACTCAACAGGTAGGAATGGATAGAGGGTGGGGTACTGGAATGGGTAGGCAGGGTGGATGTACAGGAATGGGTAGGCAGGGTGGATGTACAGGAATGGGTAGCAGGGTGGATGTACAGGAATGGGTAGGCAGGGTGGATGTACAGGAATGGGTAGACAGCATCAAATGTTAGGGTAAGATAGAGGAATGATTATACTGTAGTGTCACTGTTATGGATTAAGTATATGTAAAAGTATTAATTAGTTAAAATGTGCTAATTTTACTAAAAACTTCAAGTACCCCAGGAACTCTTATTTTTCCAACATATTCCTATTATACTTAGTTGAAGGAGTTTGTGATATTCTTCAAACATACCGGGTAATAACAAAATGAGGAAGTAAATTTAATATGAATGTTGTAATACTGTTTGAATCTACAGTAAAAAATGATTACTTACACAGCATAAGAAATACATTATTATAAAACATAGTTGGTTATTCAAGTTCATACAATTGAATATGAATAAAGTTACTGCTGTAGGTCACAATATTTTGCTATATACCGATAATAAAAATACAGGCTAGGTTAATCAAAGTTGGCTAAGGAGGAGAAAAGAATGACGGGTTCTCTAATGAGCCTTAATTTTTGTAATCTGATTCAGGTGTGTTATATTTTCAAGCAAAAAAATGTTTCTTAAAGCAATTTCCTACTTTTCTTCTTTAGGAAAAATTTATTTGTTTTTCTGCTCAAGGTTGTGGGTTAATGACTTGTTCCTGGGTGGCTTAGTCCCCGTAAAAAAAAAAATCATTACAGTTATTAAAGTTTTACTGTCTGTTTAATGGTATTAAACTGAACATATAAAAAAATATATATATTTGCCACTCTTCCAGTGCTTGAGTGGCAAGTAAAGGTATACTGAAGGAAACTCTCATTTCAAAGAAACTTAAGAAGCTAGTTTTTAAGTACAATTTACTAAATATTCTTTCAATGTACTTACCAGGTAAGCCACCAATATAGAATGGAGCACCTGTAAGTGTTCTCTCATCATTACCAGAGCCATTAAAGCCGTATGCTTCACGGTAGTCATCAACTCTCAGGGAAAGAGAATCTTTAATGTAGCTCGCTTTTACGGTGTGCCACATGTTATCACAGAAGTTGAACTTGTTTCGAAGTCTCACACGAGCACTAAAGGGATGGCCTGAACCCATGTCCACAGTCAGCAAGACCTGTGAAAATGACTCTTAATAAGTGAAACATGCCTTTAGGGGAAGGTAAGGGGGTAGGGAAGAGAACTGTCAGGTTTTTAATATGACCTTGACTTTTGACCCTGTGTGACCTATCTATGCATAATTCAAATACAGTCAGATGGTCAATATACAAAACTTTCCTGTTAATGCTTTTAAACATGGGTGCTGGAATCAAACACTATAACAAGAGCATGTTAGGTGATAATTAAAGTCAATTGGCAAAATTTTGAAAATAAATATTCCATAACATAAGTATACTCAAATAATGGAAAGTTTCCTTTTAAAACTGTCTGAAGGTCGAGCAGGAAAATAAAAAAAATGACAGAACAGTATCATATTTATGACTCAAATCTAAATACAGTACCTATAAATCATTAATAATTTAATTCTGATGGTGATAATACTCACAGCTCCATTCACCAGTTCAAGAGAGAGTGATGTTCCTCGAGGATCAGCAACACTGAGAATAATACCATTTAATTCCCAAGTCCGGAATTCCAATCGTAATTCCAACAGCGAACCAACGTTAAAGTCATCACCTTAAGAGAAGTAATGAAAATAATAAGTCAAGTGGACGAACAAAGTAAGTATCACTACAAAGGGAAAGTTTGACCAGTAAGGCATTGTGACAAAACTGACATGTTTTTTTAGCTTGCCTGCACAGGAGTTTCATGAGAGATTATGACTTACCCATAATGCTGTAGTCATCACTGTCGGCATCAATAACATTAAGTTTAAAATGTTAAATGTCATGTTTAAATGCACCTGCAAAATAACTTCACTGTCTTCTGAAAATGGTTGTTATGTTATGGATTGAAACTTGACAATAGTTTTCTTGAAAAAGATGATAAGTTATTAAAGACTAAGATCATTAAAATAATAATAAATTTGAAGGATTATTGAAGTGGGGGGCTGCTCTGGAGTAACCCTGTTTATCTGGAATGTTTCAAGAAAATCACACTTAAGTCTGGTTGTTGACATCTGTTTTAACTGATATGACTTTTTTGCACTGTAAAGCATTATATATAAGTACTGTACAGTACAATGGTAACCACAGAATTTGTGGAAAAGTCATTTCAATGTGCTCATGTGCCTTATGAATAAAGAAAAGACTGGGAGATGAGTGTATGTGGGTGCGGCAGGCGGGAGGCTGGTTCCCTCCTCCCGGACGCCTTTAACATGTCCTTATGAAATTTGACCGTAATTCCCATATTTAGGTTCATTTGGTGCCATAAAAAATTCATGTAAATGAGTGTAGGTAGCAAAATGCGGTGCACTGATACAAAATGCATGAAGGCAGGACTCAGACTGAGACATGTACAGTGTGCCACGCGACACCCACAACAGCCGTTCACCTGCACCTACAAACACACAAACGATCCGGTGTATAGAGAAGCAGTCCAGAGCACCTCAAAAGTGTAAAAAAAAGCAAATTCTAGTGTATTGAAGTCTGGTGTATAGAGGATGTACTGTACAGGGATCATAGGTAGTCAGAACAAATATGGTTTTGTTGTGAGCTGTGACTGACACAGCGGTAGCACTTACTATATATTGCATAAGCATCACCGGGGAAGTATGAACCAGGCTGCACGCTGGCAAAGCACTGACCAACTCCGACTATACGATCTCGTCTCCTATTATTTGGTATTTCAAAGTCTTCTCCATTAATTTTGAGGTTTCGTAAACAGCCACGCAGAGTTTCTGTTTCCTGAAATTTAGAGATATAAATTTACACATACACGATAGCTCTTGATGTTACATCTTCTGTATATGGTGTCAATTATTATTTTGATTATGGTGATATGTATTTTCATCAACACACATCACCCATAAGTACAAGGTAATTATATAATCAGAAATGTAAAAATTTTTAGGAGTTCTACATCAAGGAATTATCTTTTTTTTTTGCTGGGAATAACAAGAACAAAATTTTAAGTATTATATATGGTACAATTAACTCTTGATATTGGGAGAAGCAGTAAAACAGATTTACAGTATTTACACATGCCAACACCTTTGAGATAAGTTTCACCGGAAATAAATGCTAATATTGTACCTGCATATTATCTGGATTGTCGTCACTGGCAGGAAGACTTCCCAAGAATAATTCCCTTCCAACGTTCATCTTACGAGGAGCTTTTTCTTTCTTCACCAACTGATTGTCTATGAAGAGAAGAAGACGCTTCCTGAACTTCTCAATCATAACCTGTAAAAAAATTATTAAATACGTACAATAAATCTCCAATCTTTCACAGTATTTTGGGGACTGTGAAGATGGTTACATTTCTTTAGCTTGGACTAATTATGGCCACAACCACACTAAGATGTAGAGAATTTGACAGTAAACCATAAGAATTAAAACCCACAAATGGAAATCCAATCCTCTTATCACCACAGGACACATCTTTTTACAGGGAAGTTGAGAAAAGAATTACTTGCATAAGGTCACACAAATCCATAAACCACACATAAGTGTCATAATGGGATGAGGCTCCAGTGTAAGCCAGTTCTGCCTCTCTGTTTACAACTGGCTGTGTATATTATCCTTACTCTGACTAATGGAGGTGTTTAGGAGGTCCAAAGTAGAAACACGCTTCTTTATTACATTTTCATCAAACATGGATACACCCAATAAGTTCCACAGATAATTAATATAAGTTGAAAAATATTAATACTTGACTTCTATTACAATATATATCTCACTTGTCTTTTAAAATAATTTCGCCAATTCGCAGGAACTTTCTTGAATATTGAAAGATTTAATTCTACAAAGTGATCAACCCAATGCTAGTTAGGATAGACAGGGAAACACACTACTGTATATCTCACTTTCTGCCTCATTTACACACAATTGCAGGGTCTCAATTGTTTCTTTTACAATTGACAACACAACATACATACTGTATATTGTTTCTCACTCTTGATCTTTTTTTAATTTTTGTAGTTCTTTTTGGTTCTTTATTATTATTATTATTATTATTAGTATTATTTTTTTTTTTATTATAAATTTTACTTATTATAATTACAGTATTATTATTATTACATTTTGGCCCCCCCAGGCCCCGATGTGGGTCAATGACCTGTGCTCGGGTGAGCTAATCCCCGTAAAAAAATAAAAAATCAATAAAAATAATAATAATAATAATATTTATATACAACTACTCCCCGACTTACGACCTACTCAACTTACGACCACCCTGACATACGACCGAGTCGTACCAAAATTTTGTCAAATTACGTATTTTCGAGTCCCAACATCAGTGATTGCGCTGTGTACTGACAAAATTTTCGTTTGTAATTCACTTTAAAATGGCTGGCAAGCTTAAAAGTGAGAGTTTTGTGGTGCTGAGAAGAAAAAGACACCCATTTTAGATTTTCTATGTATTATATAAGCATTTTCGACTTACAACCTGGATTTGGGCGGAGTATTTTGATTGACAGATACCGGTAGTGTCCTTGAAGAATATTTCTTTGTTTATTTACTGAAGATATATGTTTTAGCTCATAAAATTCATACAAATTACCCGGCCAGAATATAATTTACATTGCTGGAATTCTTACAATATGATGATCATTTTGAATATAAACATCATGGATTTTGCATTAGACATACAAATTTTAGATCTAAAGTAATAATTTGGTTTACACAAAGCAATTATTTTATCTTTTGTGCAAAATATATTTAGTTTACATTCAAAATATACCCTGACCTGCAAGGAATCCAGAAATGTCAATTATATTATCCTAACTTTAGTCTGAGGTATTATTTATTACTAAACGTTAAAATCTAGAGTTTTCACCCAAACATTAATCAGAGAGGTAGGAGGTAGTGAGCTGGGAAGAGGGGGGGGGGATTTGAGTCCATTATTTGAATGGACATTAACCTGGCGACTGTATTTCTCTTAAATATTAATTGTGTGAGCATACCATCATGAAATTTAGATGTTATTTTTACTACAACATAGGTATTGTGTCGGAAAAAGTGGAGTTGGGGGTCGGGCCAGTCTCTATTGGAATTAATCCCATATGTTCTGTTGTTCACTTTACACGGTTTTCACTTTCTGTGGTACCCTGTGGGTTCAATTGACCGCGTAAATCGGGGCACTACTGTATATATATACCTGGTCAATGTCATAAATTTATCATAGCTATACAGTGATCCCTCGGTTAACAAGCACAATTCGTTCGAGAAGGTCGTTCGTTAACCAAAAATTTCGTTAACCGAAACCATTGTTTCAATAGAATTTTGGGTAATTGGTTCCAGCTCACCGAAAATTACATACAAACTAAAAATAAATGCAGTAAAGTACACTTACTTTACTGATGATGATGGGAATTAGAAGTGGGATGGAGGAGAAGGGAGAAGAGAAGGCAGTGGGGGTGGAAGAGAAGTCACCCCATGCTTCATGCTGCCATTTCACCCATAAAATTTTAAGTTCACTTGGTGTAATTCAAGATTATTTTCTTTAAATCAACACTGCACTACACTACGGTATATATTGTCAATATGTAAAATAAATTTCAGAATGACCAATAATTGTACTGTAAAAATGTAAAAATAGTTTATGTTCAAGAGTGTCTCAAGCAAGATGCTACCTCCACTGAGCAGACACACAAACTGACGCCATTCTGGGTGAGTCAAGTGGCTGTTTGGCGGGCTAAAAACTAGTTCCCTGTACTTCAATTATGTTAAATAATTGTTAAAATTACAAAAAAATTCAATATAAGACTTGGAAAATTATTGAATAGTACAACCTTCTTGATATTTACTCAAATGGTAACGAATTTAAGCCCTAAAACCGATTACTGTATTAGCGGACTAATACTCCAGCTGGTGAGCAGGCGAAAACATGCTGACACGATTCCGTAAGGATTTTGTTAACCGAATTTTTGTTCGTTAATCGAGTTGAAGATTCTTATGGAAGGTAATTCGTTAACTGAAATTTCGTTAACCGAGTCGTTCGTTAACCGAGGGATCACTGTATGGTAGGTCAGTTAAATGCTGAAAAATGTAGTTTTATAGCTACTGAACAGTACAACAAAGAGTACAGTACTAGGCATAGTCATTACATAGTACTGTAGTGTAAAATTAAGACAAAATACCACCATAGATGAAAACTATTCTATAGTTAATAGTTCTTTGCAAAAATACATATTTACCTATCTTAATTTTTATGACCCCTTGAAAAATATATCAATGGGATTTAGAGTGTATTTGTTTAGCGACATACTGTGATCTATAAGAAAACAAATACAGGTACAGTATTAACATCACATACTGTAATAAGAAAATACAGTTGTTCTCATGTCTGGTTATATAATGTGAACTAAGAAAATACAAAGATGGAAGCGTTAACAAATGGTGTAACATGTAGGTGAATAAATCCACTAAAAAAGACTTACTTTTCTCCATTGACCAGTATTAAGACCTGGTTTGGAAGCTGCCTCAATGTTCTTGGGGCCCTTCTTGCTCTCCTTCTCCATGGAGACAATTACCCGGCCATTACGGAGCTGTGCGGAGATTGTTTGTGTCCTCTTCTTTCTTGTGTTCTGAGAGAATATAATTAAACCATTAACTCGCATATTAATTCATATTCAATAATACAAGTCTGTTAACCTCAGGGGATTCCGATGATGTTTTGATACCTTTCGTTGATGGTGTGTGGATGGTGACTGAATTGACTAATGAAATTGTGATGAAATGTATTGTTTCAGCTGACTGACTGAGGAATATAATCTCGAATACCTACAAGGGAAAAGGTGATGATCAGTGGTGGGCACGGTTCCGCTAATCCGCTAACCGCTAATTAGCGAAGCTAACTTTCTCGTTAGCAGATTAGCATTTTCGCTAACTTTGGAAACCATTAGCAGACCAAATAGCTTCCGCTAAATTTAGTTCCGCTAACTTTATGTCCATTAACAAAATTTATACATGTTTGTTCCTGTCTGTTGTAAGCGTGTGATGCCGCGACGCGTGTCTCCAACAGCCAGTCAGGCACGCTTGGCTGACTGTGTGTTAGTACGTGTAAACGTGACAAGACATGATTTGTCGAAGCCGCGCTGCAGTTGAGCGAATGGAATTTTTAGATTATTAAAGTTTAATACTTTTTTTTTACACTAAATAAAGACTGTCAGTGTATTTTGTAAGAATCATAGAATGTAATTGTAAACTAATGTATAATTTAATTTCTCATTTATTTGTTAATTTAATTAGGATTTTTTTGTGTCAATATATTTGGTTATGCTAAGTACTGCATAAGTTCATAACCAGGATGTCATCCAAGGTGTGCGCCAAACAAAATTGTCTAAAAACTTACTTTTCATTAAAGTTTAGAGTTTTCTGTTTATTTACATGACTAAGACCAACAATAAGTTATATAAAAATGCACTGGATTAATGACTAAGACCAACAATAAGTTATATAAAAATGCACTGGTATAATGTGTATGTGGTTGGTATTGCATATTTACATGAATAATGAATAAGGCCGATAGGCTGTATGAGAATGCAAATTTAATTATTTGTGAAATTGTGTACAGTGTACACCTTGATAAGTTGATCATCATCTGATCTTGGCATGATGCTATTTGCTACCTATGCTATACAGTACTATAGATAGTTTTTGGATTCATTTAATACTTTCTGTCTTTTCGTCCAGTAAATAAAGATTATAAAGTGTATGTTGAAACTTGAATGTAAACTAATGTTTAATTTCATTTGTTCATTTAATTATGTGTGTACACCTTGATCATCATCTGACCTTGGCATGCTGTACCTTTTTGGAAAGCTCTATGTCTAAGCTACAAGACAAATGAAAATTTCAGCTCTCTAGGTCTGTTTTAAGGGTTTTAGAGCCCCCCCCACAAAAAAAAACGAAGTTAAATTCATATAATAAAAGTTAGCGGTTAGCATTAGCTTTCGCTAATTTTTTTTAGCTATTTAGCGGTTTAGTGTTAGCGAAGTTAACTTTTCAGTTAGCAGATTAGCGGTTAGCGAAGCTAACTCTTCGTTTAGCTGTGCCCACCACTGGTGATGATGCACTTTAACATAGGAACTACAGGGGCCAGAAGCTGTTAGATTAAGTTATGAAAGTTGTGGAGAGTGATCAAGAAATTTATAAAGGAGAGACTGGACATTTATGAATACAGTTCAGGTTCATGCCAGGAAGAGATAATATTAATAGCCAGGCAACTCCAAGAGAAATACCTGGTGTAGTGGACAATGAGAAAGTTAGGAGTTGAGAAGTGTCTAGTTTGAGTGGTTATGACACTATAAGGGTTATCTGAGAATAAATGGCGAGGAAAGTGATGTACCTGAGGTGAAAATAGGGGTTCACCAGGGGTATGACCTTATGGCTGGTCTGCCCTGGGAGTTGTTGTATGTTGATGACTTAAAGTGTTGATAGTAGATATTATGTTTACTCCGTATTTTATGGAAAGGCCAATGTAAAAAACAATGAATCAATTTTCTTTTTTCATTAGGTTATGTTTTCTTCATAATTCTTCACAACTTCTGTACTTTTCATTTTTAATTTACTACATTAATACTGTATACAGATACATATTATGATATTCAAAGGGATTTCAATGTTTAATTAACTTTTTAAGTATTGTGTAAGTGTACAATAAATGCAATGCAGTTATATTGCACATGTTCAGTATAGCGGGGACCCTATGGAAAGTTATGCTGACCCCGTTAAACTGACATTTACTGTTAATGGAGTTAAGAAAACAAATAAAGTACGACATATGAATGATGTACCGAGAAAGGAATGCTTGAACTAAAATATGGAGTACAGTATTGTGTGAACTGGATATATGAAATGAATGAAACGCATGAGTGATAAAACAATTCCATTATAAAGTAAATAGAAACTTTTTTTAAGAGGAATATCATAAGAAGCATGATATAAGAGTATCCAGACTGAATAAATAGATGGCAAGACACCACCATTATGAACTGTAAATACCGTATGTACCAAAAGAGAATTAAAATTATATATACAAGTATACAGGTACTGTATAAATAAACTTACTGAAACAATGAAGAAGAGACCATTTGGATAATAAGTCCTAAATTCGAAGGAGACGGTGAAATTCTTCTTGAAGGTCCTAGAGTTCAAAGGTACCATTACATATGACTCTATCTGATCTCCAAATTTAAGTGCCTTGTATTCCACCGTGTGTTGGGTTGGGGGCTGACATGAATCAATCTCCTGAAACATAATATAAACAGTAGATATAACTTAAAAAACAATTACCATCTAATACAGTAGTACAATAATAAATAGAAAAAAATAGCAGGAACTGATATAATTCTCAACATGTGGCAGCTTCTGGGTTACTATATCTAATAAAGGCCCGTCCACACGATCGAGCAGTGCCCGCTGGGCACGCGCTAAATGCCCGTTATAGGGCAAAATTGGCGGGCAAACCAGCGGAGTGCCCGTGCCCGTCGTTGAGCGAAATCATGGTCCACCTGCCTGGTGGTTTGCTGCCGGATATGGAGCGACGACTTTAAGTACTGCAAATGTGATACGTATATGTTCCCCGCTCAGTCCAGATGTCCAAATATGCTTATGCAATGTACATTATTGGCGTGACAATAAACGGGAGATTGTTTATGTATTATGTAATGAGGACATTCGTGTGTGTTCTTCGTTCCTGCCGCTCTCCTCACTCTAGTCCCATAGCTTCCTGTCTATGCATATCATAATTCTAACATTATTCAATGAATTTTTATGTACTACAAATCTCACCTGCACGTACTCTTCCTTGAGTACTTCATACATGGCTTGACAAGTTGCAGGTTTTATGCGAGACAAACTTTGTTTTGATATCCTCGTTCTATACTAAAGTGACTTGTAGGTGCACCTAGTTGAAAGATATATGAGCGATGCCTCTAGACGAGCCTCTGCAGATATTCTCTCCCTCATATTGGTATCCTGTTTTTTTTTATATATGGTTCCACTTTTGCTAGAAGTTTGTAAAAGGTGTTGGGGTCCATTCTCATGTAATTGGTGAAGTCTGGCTCATGTCCATCTTGCAGTTCACGTAAAATCGTGGCATGACTTCCCAATACTTTTCTTCGACCTAACCACTCTTTGCACCATTCCCTTTTCTGCATTTGGTTCTTCTTTTTGCACATAGCAATTATTATAGTACACAACGCTATGCTCTTTGCTTTAACTGTCCGGTGATTATTCCTGCGACACACCATGGTGATCATACCGCATCCGCCACTGCCGATCATCTACTAGCTACCGGTGCCTGACTATGACTGCCGCCAACCACCCCTGTGTGTACAACAGCACACAGGCTTTGCCCGGTAAACAGGCAAAGCCCGCCAGGCACTGCTCGATCGTGTGGACGGGGCTTTAAAAGTATTCTATCACCAAAGTCTTATTCCATCATCAAAACGTGCACCCTATAGCATACAATAAAATCATTACTGACAAACACACAAGGAGCAGCATACAAAGAGGGGTTCAAATCCTAACTTATCGTCACAATGTAAAAACAAATGAAATACAGTACGTGTGTGGGGAACTAAGACCTCTAGTATACATTAGAGGGTGTTAATCCTATCATAGACAATGTATGATATGCAAACTACCTTATCAGCATTTTATATACATACATGCATTCACCCTCTTATACATCAAATTTGGGTGTTGTAATAAATGGCTTATTACTTCATATTACTTATTTTTATTTTTTATTTCTATTTTATTGTTAACTCTGATAAGTTTTTCTCACTATAATGCAGTGTAGCCAGAATATACAGCACACACAGACTCTCTCTTCAGTTACTGTCATTCAATCTTTAACAGCATATTGTATTCATTAATATCAACAAACTACTAAGCGTTAATAACATAACTTCAATGTGATTTATCTGGTCTCTAGGTAATTTGCAGCTAAAAGATATTTCACAGTAATCACAACATAAAATGAATAAAATAACAAGCATTAATAGTTCATGGAAATAAAGTTTCTTTATTATGACACAAGCAACTTCTAAATTACAAAGACTGACAATGAAATTTTACATAACAATTTGATTAGTTACAAATACAGTACAAATATTAGTTAATTCTTTAATTTCTCCAGGCAAAAATGCGGTGAACACCAAGTTTGTGGCAAGAGGTTACCACACAAACTTACTGTAATTAAAAAAATATATTTACACATTATCAATGCTTGTTTACTAATGTATTTTACTTACCGTATCACTTTAAACCCCTTGCCTTACCCATTTACTGTATTTCTAAAAGTTGTAAAAGAAATTATACTGTATATATGGATATATGGACAAAGTAACACACATAATATTTTGTTATATATTCTTTTATCTAAAAAGTTATTATACAGTCAATTACACTGTAATTACTATCCCGATATATCTCGGGATTTACATAAAAAAATTGAAAAATTATAAAGCGTACATCAACAAGATCATCATCATAAAAATGTATGTTAAAATATTACAACACACTATCCTCTGAGTCAGAAATATAATTCACAGAAGCCCCATTCCCATACATCAATGTATGGAAATTGTGCAGAAGGCTGAACAAGTCCACCTGTTTCAACCCTGAACATCAGCTGGATTTGCTGGCTTGTCATCTGAGTCTCAGCTTTCAGTGTCAGATACATCACTGTCATTCCCAAACTCGTCTTTGTCTGCATATTTATTACTATCAACATATAATTCATCCTCACTAGACATTCTGGGGGTAAAAAGAGGCTGAAAATGGCAAGAAAATGAATAATAATATTCATTGCTTTTCACTCCCCTTGCTATGCCGTCCTACCAGCTGAGCAACAGTTAACAAGTCTTGTACTGCCATCTATTGATAGAGAAAATGGCCCTAATCAAGCGTCCCGAAAGCAACATAAATGAACTCGTGAAGAACTTTTTTTGCATAAACTTTTTTCCGAGTTAAGTCGTTTTAGTAAGGCAAGGGGTTAGTCATGAGTGAAATTATGCAAGATAACTAGAAAAAAAATATTCAACCTTTCATTTTAGTGCATTAACTCTGGTAACTCTACACTACATTACTGCAATCAGTGCCATGCAATACAAAATCACATTTCCATTCCTAGATGCATTTTTTGAAGGAAATTACAAAATGATTCATAAACTTATATATAAAAAGATAAAGGTCTTTACTCACAAAAATCATACACAGTAATCATGAAAAGAAAGGGGACAAAATATGCATATGATCCTTTCACTATGGTTTTTAAAATATTTACAATATCCTGAATTAACTGAAACATGGAACTCCTTAGTGCTCGCTTTACTATTCAACTCTCTTCCGGTTTCACTACACTACCTCATTACACAACAGTGTTAGGGTGATAAAAGGTGGGACGACAAAATCTTCATCTTTTCCATGCAGACATCTAATTTACCAATGACACACTACATCATACCTTACCTACTGTTCACTTTAAATAAGTCTTATACAGTAATACCTTCATATCTCCTTCCATTCCTTGCATAGCAGTTTGTGGAAGATCAGCACAACGACCGATGTATACGTCTTGGAACTTTACCGGCTGTGAAAATGACACTACCCTGTGGAAGAGAGCAGCGTATTCCTTTAGTTTCATCACTTCAAGGAGCAGAATCCAATGGCTTATTCAATCAGCCCCAATGTGCCACCATGGAGAGGCAAGAATCTTACAAGCAATGTGTATACCGGTACTGTATACAAACACAATTTCACACCTCTACTAAAATCAGTTACAAAAGAGATCTATAAAAATAAATAAATTGGCATCACATACAGAGAAGCAAAAGATGAAGCATGACAAACATGTTCGTAAAATTTCAGACCCCCCAACTAATAAAAAAATTTGTTTTAAAAAGTTCAAGACAAACATTAAGGATTGTTTTATCTGCCAATTCTTTCATCTCGGATGTTTTTGTTGGTAAATACTGCCCCTATTGTGGTAAAAAAAAGCAAAAAATAAAAAAATAAAAAACAATTACAATTATAAAAACACTTACTTGTTGTTAATAATTACATCTCTGATACAGCCTTTTAATGATCTGGATGATCCAACCATAGTCACAGCTTCAATATCCCTTGGAACACCTCCAAAGTAAAGCCCACCGGTGTCTGGTCCGGACACAACTTGGCTGCCTCGATCTAATCTTGTTCCATTTACTTCCTTGTCATCCACTTTCAATGTCACCCTGTATAAGAATAGTTAAAATAGCTGTCATCACGAGGATTGCAACAACAAAACAAAAAACAAGTATTTTATATTCTATTTCTCAATTCTTATATACATAGGGTTGATTAAAAGCATAAGAAATAAGGGTTCTCAATTAATTTCAAGTAATGGGAAAATTTAAAACATATACCACTCCTGGAGGGAAAGAGGAGATTAGGTTCAGTTATCTCAAACATGTGTATGATTTTATATACATTAAGACTATTTAATCTTAACAGTCAGGGGATGTACCTGGTATGTCCTAGAACACCAGAGTACCAGAGGATGTACCTTGTACTGTATGTCCCAGAACACCAGAGTACCGGGGGATGTAACCTGTATGTCCTAGAACACCAGAGTACATACCTAGTATGACCTTGTGGAATACTGCTGTGTCACTAGTGCATTACCTCACACTCCTCACTGCACTGATCCTTCAGGGAGACTCAACACAGTGCTCACTTACCTCCTGTTCTCCTTGATCACAAAGAATGAGTGCAAGTACCCATCATTGTACTTTGCTGATGACATAATTCTGTGGCTGCTTGTTCCTCCATTCAGTCTAATGTCCAGATGACCCTCCACTAGTGACACAGAATAGTAGTCTGGAGGATGTTCTTCCCCTGGCTGACGAGGCTGTTGGATGAAGAAAAAAGGGAGAGAGAGAAAGAGAAAAAAGTAAGTAAGCTGTATATTGTAGATAATTTTAGAGAACAAGCATCAACATTATCATTCACAAAATGTTCTTTTAAAACAAAGGAAAAGTATAACTTACACTGTAATAAATAAAATGTTGCAGAAGGTCACATAAAAACAATATTAATTTATGAAATTGTCACAAACATTTAGAAAAATACATGATCTGAAAAGCAGTTTCAAAATGAAAAGCTGTATTTTCAAACAGTTAAACAGCCAATAAAATACAGAATATTGTCATCCATGATAAGCAAAGCAATAAAAATTTTTTTACTATCCAGCAAAAATGTATAAAAGGCAATTCATTTTCAAAGTTTGGCCATGCAATAATAATACTGTACAGTAATAATAAAAAAACAAGATTCATGCCACAGTATACAAACTTGTACAGTAAACAGATGCTCCACTCCAGTAGAGAATGTTTATGGAAAATGGCAAAGCTAGTTAAAAGTACATCTTAATTATGAGTCCCTAATATGACAACTAATCAGAAAAAAATAAAATTTAAAAACAAGATTTAAATAACTTGTCATACCTACCTTACCTGGTGTTATATGTACAGGTAAGCTTAAGTTATATGTTAAGCAACAATTGTGTTAATTTATGTATTGGTTAGTTAGTGATCTGCTGTTGTAACCAAAGTACTCCCTTCACCATAGCGTACAGTGGGTGTTGAAGTGGTGGTGGTTGTTGTTGTTGTAGTAGACATGTCTCCGTCTGTTTCATTGTCCTTTAAGGGGAATTTTCCATCTATTAGTACATACAGTCAGGATTACTTGTTAGACCTGGGTGTTTGGAAATGATAAAACAAATGAATTAAGCTCTCTCAGACTGAAGGTAAACTTCTCACTGTATATTACTGCAGACATCCTAAGCACTTACGAGTAACTTTTTGATGTGTTTTGGTTAAGTTTGACGAGAAGAGCTGATCATTCTATTGAAATGAAATTCAGAGGGTAGAGTTTTCTCCTTAATCTTATTCAGGTACTCAAAGCTTACATCATTTGTACCAATTCTTACAGTCAGCTTAGTCAGGGTTCTTAAGAAGACTGAAGAAGGTGCTCTATGTAATGCCTGAGTCATCATACGTCAAGCCCCCAGGCCTAAGTTAACCCTTTTGTGAGTTAATGTGTTTATTATTTCATTTAATACAGACAAAAACATAAAATCCTTGAGCATAATATGATCTAACTTTTCACACATGATACTGTATTGCTATCCTCAGAATATATAATAGTGATATCAAATATGAATTAAATCTATGTTTTCGTTGAAGATAAGCAAATTCACCACTACGGATCATTGACCATAAGTCTTGGCAATGATGAAAAAAAACAATGTTGATTATTGCACTTGTAATATATAGGGTGTTGCAGAAAAATGTCCCAGTCTCTCTCCCTTCCTCCCTGCCTGCTGCTTGCTTCCCTCCCTAACTGCTCCCTCAGACACTGTGAGTTGGAGGGAGGGAAGGAGGGAAGGACATTTTTCTGGGATACCCTATAGATGGATGAAAAGCACTAGTTCCTGTGTTCCCCAAATGGTATAGCAGGGACAAATATTCAGAAAAAAGAATTCTACCCTTTGAATTACAATAATAGAATATTTGAGAGACTACAGTACATTTTACCATTTTACCACATGCAATGAAGAGTCACAAATTCAAGTTTAATATCATCCAAATTCATTCTGTAGAGGATTTATCTACTTCTCTGAATAAAGTGATTTATCCATGCATCCTGTATTATACATGGCAAAACCTCACTAATTTGAATTTCAGATAAAAGAAACAAAAAGAAACATTTAAAATCTCTTATATGGGTTTCTTCCACCCACACATATATGAGACTAATGTGTAAATATTTATTTCTTAGAGAAGGACTTTGTATATGCAAAAGTGAATCAATATATCCAGGACTGCTTGGAACTGAAACCCAAGACCTCTGCCGGGGGGAATGAGGAAAGTCTCCAATATGTCTTCTATTACTTTAACCCAAAATATTGGTTAATTTGGCCAGTCCTTATTTCTATACAGTTCAAATTAGTGAGGCCTCATAGGGAAATGAAGAAGATACCGATATTTGTGCAGTTCTGATAGAAAGTATAAACTATGTGAAATTTAGTTCTCCGAGTCTTGAGAGAGAGAAACTACTGTAGGTACTTCTTTTCTAGACAATTTCACCCACAGGGTCATGAAATAAATGTGAATGTGGTTTTCAAGAGTATCCCACACACACACACACACAATCTTCTGTTATCAATTTCTGTTTTTCCTTTTTGCATCTTTAATTCTACCCACACCCCCTTTTTTTGATTAGATAATATAAAAATGGCATAATTACTTAAAGCAATTTTGACAATACCTGAATTTAATTTGCAGTGAATTCAATATGTTAGTAAATAGCACCCCCCTCCCCCACCCCCAAAATGTTATTTATTACAGATCAATATTAATGTACGGGATCCATTATTCAATTTACCTCTAAACGTGTCAGTGACTATAACATATTGAATACTGTACTGGTCATTACATAGATATTTAAAATAAACTCAATAAGCCTGTAGTTCTGTAAGACCAAAGCCCCCATCATAATAATAATACAGTAATAATAAAATAGCAATAATACTGTAATATAATAAATCTGCCAAAATCTAAAAATAATTTAAACAAGTAAATCTGTTCAAGTGGACTTTCATTATCAATGGTCTTTAACCTTGAAAATTTCACATTTCTCAGACTAGCTATTCACTCGTTAATATAAAAACAATCCATACAATTTATCTCAAAGAGCTCAGAATTTTACAACTTTTATCTGTACAGCTCAGGCTCTCACTTGGCTCAGCTAGTTCACTATCGTTCTTATTGTCCACTCTGTATCTGTATTTTTCTGGCTAAATAAACTGTGTCAATACTGTATCAAATATCTTGGTAGTGTATAAATATATTTGAACACCACGAAAGGTGGGGTGCAGAACTAAACCTTCATAACACGAGTTTAATTTCTATTTCACGTTTAACAGGGTTGTCACGTGGTAGTCCTTCTAATTATCCCTTTTGGTCTAATCTCTTACAACAATCATCCTTGTCTGCCTCTCAATAAAAAGTGTTTGGCATACTGTTGAAATTTCCATGTTTCAAGTTTGTGTATTAGCTGGTACAGTACAGTACTTCACAACAAAATGAGATTCCCACATGAAACTTAATCTTGACAAAGATTGAAAATGTTCCATTTCCAAATCCCTTAGGTAGTATAATATAAATTAAAGCATGCTTCACCATAAAAAAATCCTGAGCAAGTTACCACCTATCTTTTTACCAAAAATATTGGGGCAATAAGAAAAACACATTGCCTTTAAATAACCACTTATGATGAACAGGCAAAGTCAACCTTAAAATTATTCTGAAACCATTCCCCTTTTTAGTACATAGATAAATACAAATACCTCTTCACCTACCTGGCCTATAAATGTAGACAGCATTAACAAGGCATCTGCTTCCATTGTTTGGAATGTGAATCCAAAGTTGGAGTCTCGTTTCAGAATGTGGGATGGAAGTTCAACAAAACCTTGACCAAGGAATCCTGCATCATTTAATGGCTGTAGGAGAAAGAGCATTATTCTTAAGATTTTCATTTTCACTCATAATAGCAAATATAAATATTATAACTGTAAGTGTATTTTGTAATATCAAAAATACAAACTTTAAAAGCATATTTTGTCATAAAAAATGACATTTAGAAAAAATAAAACAAAATAATGGAGTTTACTGTTCCATTTATACCTCCCCTATTTACCCTGGAAATGTGTAAGTAACAGAGAGAGAGAGAGAGAGAGAGAGAACAGGAATACACTCTACAGTACCTTTTCTGGACAAGACTGTTCAATGCCATAATACTGTCCATCAGTAAGAGGATTCTTGCCCTCGTCCAATACACTCAGACCTGTCATACAGCCAAGTAGTGAACGCAGTACCAACTCACTGCCCCATCTGTGATACAAATGAAAATTATGACCGGTAAAACTAAGCAATGCTGAGCTAAATACACCTTTGTAGAGTATACTTGCACATGTATTTAAAATTATAAAGTATTCTTCATTTGTATCTGTATCATGTGAAAAAGTTTAGATGTATAACCTGTAAAAAATGAAACTTTACATTTATAGGAATGACATGCAAGACAAATATGATACAGTGATTCATCTTATACATTTTCTTGAGCTATACTTCTGACATAATTAATGTACTTAAAATGTTGGACTTGCAGGTTCCTTAGTAGTAATAATTTGATTTAACTTTTTTAATTTCTCATGAATTAGTGCTATGGGTTCATCATCATCATCAACATTTTCCATTTATATAGGTTAGCCCAATTAATACAACAGGTTACAAAATATTAATTCTCTTTAGGCTGTCTCCCAGTTTCAAGGAAGAGTACAGTACCTGTTTCCTCTTTTGTGTTATGGACATGCTTCATCTGAAACCTTAATATGACTGACTGCCTTAAGTTTCTCTTTACACAGTAGCAAAGAGCCCTGCTGATCATGCTTGTGATTCTGCCACTGAACTGCAACACCCCCACATGAGTTACTCTTTAACCACTGTCCAATCAAACCAGTTTTCAAAGTTAACCTCAAACAAGGTCAATATCTTGAATGATTTAAGAGACAGTATTAAGATGAAGGTTTATATTACAATCAAAGGATGAGCTACTCTACAATTCCTCAATTTAACTTTTTATGTTTTGAAGGCACACTGTCATGCACACCCAGTGGAAAAAACCCTCTTTAGTGAGAATACTGACCTTCCTCTGTTAAATTCTGGATCAACACCACCAAAGTAGTAAGGAACAAAAGAGAGATCAAGGTCAGGTCCTCCCTTCACTGTTCCTATTTGGTCTTGGTCACCAACAACCAGCCGACCCATTCGTGCACCACCTTGAGATGAAGTCCAAAACAGTATTGTCAATATACAGTATTACAAAAACAAAAATTTAGAAAAAATGCTCAGTTTGAAGTATTGTATTGTGAGTCAGTGTGAAGGTTAAGAATTAACTTTGTGAACTGCCTTAAAATTTCCTTCCTTTTTTAATATTTTTATACCATTTGATCCACACAACAGATAGCTGAGACAGGGGTGAAGATAAAAGACAGAAATATGTGATTGTACTTTGAAAGAAGAATACTGGTACGGTACAATACTACAATCATAAAAAATGAGAACTAGAATTTTTTTCAGAGACACACCGTCTTGAAGTAACTCAGTTCTTCCTACACAGTATTTCATACTACTTGCTGTTACATGGTTCCATGTGACAATAAGTAGCACCTGGACTAAGTTACCTCGAATCTTTGGTCTAGTTTGATTAATATTAATTTAAAAAGCTATTATAACAATACCCTTAAGTTTTAATACTTCCTAAAGCTTGTAACTCTCCATCACTGTCCCCTGTTCAGGATCATAAGCTTTCAAAAATAAATAAAAATATCTTTAGTTATTTCTTTAAGACCTCCACAGAAGTCAGCTGCTTCGTGGATGCAGGCAACCCATTGTACAATTTGGCTGCTGCTGTATAGGAAAAGGACTGGGCAACAAAAGAACCTTCCCATACTGCTCTAGGCTCCACAAGGTGTGAAAGATCATCACTACTGTGCAGAATCATTTCAGAAAGTGTAGTTAGGTTGGTCAAATACTTAGGCTCAACAAACATTAGTTTTAAAAGTCATTAGACAAGAGTTTGAACCCTGTGTGAAAACAAAAATAATATTTTACTAATACTGTACAAATAAAATAAATAATGATGATAAACTATGTGGCAATCTCTTCAATCTGACAATAATAATATTTGAACTCACTACTTCTGACAAATTCTCCAACTCACTAGAAGCAGCTGAGACATAAACAGTCATTTAACTTGCTTCTTGGGAACTCTCAACTTCTGAAGACTACATTTAATACATTTTTCTATCTAAAGTATGCATTCAACAACTTTGTATTTATTTTGTTATTTAAGAAGTCCAGCAAACAGTGAGTAGAGCCAAGACTTGACATAGCCTCCTGTTGGGTCTGGGTAACATGGATGACCCAGGAAACTAGAAAAACCACAAAATCAATTACTAGTTCAGTCCTGGTCCCAATGGTCCCGGGTTTGAGGGTCTATACCTGTATATATAAGGAGACTTACAATTGAATGAACTTCATATCAATGACTATAAAAGAGAAACTGGAGGAGTCTGGTGAGGCACATAAGGAAAAGAAATAGAAACGAGAGAGAGAGAGAGAGAGAGATTGATTCTAAGGAAGAAAGGTAAGCAGTTGTTGTATAATAGAAAACTGTATCATAAATGTATAAGAAAATGAAGAGTGAGGTATTATAGATAAAATATTAATGATGTGGAAAGACAGAGAACGAACATAACAGTAAGATGTAGCGACCATAGGTAGAGTACTTAATAGATGTTCCTGCAGTGGATGGTTTGTTTTATTGCAGGAAAACTTTATCACATGAGAGAAAATATATGACTTACCCCGTTCTTTGTTGGGCACAATTGCCTGGATCTGGACCATGTCCTCATTGTTGTTGAGCTGTTTGCTAGACTTCATCAGGAGACGAGTTTGAGGATCAAACTGCACGGTGAAGACTACATGACCGCTATCCAGGGATATGCTGAAGTACTGGTTCTGTGAGGGAGAGAACTCCATATTATCAGCAGCTCTAGATCTATCCGTACAATTTCTAGAGAATAATATACATGTTAATACCAAACTGGTTTAAAGTTTCAGCAGTTCTGTAAAGTTTGTCAAACCCAAAAGTATGAATAAATAAAAAGTACTACAGTAGCCTTGGGGTATTTTGTAAAATTTTATTTAATTTACTTTCTATTTTACAGTACTTCCCATGCTGAAACTGTAGAGGTGCATTTCCCCAGCTGCAGTCACTGGGTCACTTAAAGTCCAGGACACTTCCCCTTACTTCCACAATTCCCTAAGAGTTTACCACATGCACCACTTACAAAAACATCTAAATGCTCTCTGCAGTGCTTCTCCTTCCAGGTCAAGTGAAAAATTAGAGAGAAATATGTTTAAGTTCAAAGAAAAAGTAAAAATTATGGATGAAAATTGTGAAGTACCTCATGATGGCTGTTCTACAAATAAAGTAGAACAGCAAAAAATATTCTTGTGTAGTGTAGGCAGGTGGTCTTTGATTACTGCAGGTAGTTGTGACCCTGCCTTGCCAGTTGTTCCAATCCTGTAAGAGGACATTAAGAAGGGCATCCAGTGTACCTAATGGCAACCGGGTCACTAGAGCTGTGCTCATACCTTGATAATAATACCAGTGAGATAAAACTTATTTGTACTGCACTTACTTTAGCTTCATTCACAGCTAGGAAGAGAAGTGCATCTTCATCCAGAGTCTTAAAGGCTAGAACAGTGCTGTAATATTCTTTTGGTCTTCTTACTCTATTCTTGCCCTTGAAGTAACCTTTGCCATTAAATCCAACAGCTATTTCATCTGACTGCTTCAACACTAATTCTTCCCTGCAGAAATAAAAGACAATTGTGTTTAGGTAATATTTTTTACGGTCATACTGTATTTTAAATATAAATAAAGTTCCCCATAAATCAATCTGATGAAATTTCTATCAACGTGGGATGAAAAAGTATACATCACATAACAGAGAAATTAGTCAAGATAAGAAGACAAAATGAAATAAATATAAAAATGGATAATTAAATAAATTAATGACAAAAAACTAATAAATATGTCCTTTTCACTTGGGATTTTTTTCTCAGCCTCTCTCTTCATTTTCAAGACACAGTTCATCGCTCCATAAAATCACTGACTGATTTATTTCATACCTCACACCATACCACAGCTCTCCCTCTCCAAATTTAAAATATTTACTGTAAGAGAAATTCCCCCACATAAATTCTACTTCTCCTCTGACTTCTCGTTTATTCTTGTAAGTTAACAGTGCAAAGAATTTACATCTAGTGTATTTCAAAGGACTAATGAATTGAAACGAAAAAAACTCTTCACATATTTACCCCTCATTACAGGGTCCACATCCTTCCGACGTTGTGAAGTTCCATAAACCAACATACTCCCCATCTATCGACAGCGTATGTAGACAGCCAGAAAATTTGTTGGTTTTTAATAAATCGCTTACATTTGAAGGAGCCCCACCTGGTGTAGGAAAAATTTATGACACTTTAGTTTTCTATCTTATTCTTCTATAACAGTCATAACAGTTATCAAATTTCAAAAATCCATATTTATCATTAATGAGAAAATTCTGTAGCATTATCTCTTCTAATATATTTGTCTAATATTACTCTGAGTTTCTGATGGTGAAATAATACTCACCAACCCAGAGAGAATCAGATGGTAGGATATCCATTTTACTGAAGCCTGCTGGAGAAGCATTACTAACTATTGTTCCCACTTCATCACCAGTTTCCTCCACATTGGCAGGAGTTACAGACAATTGTCCAATGTTTCCAATACGATTGATACTGATGTAATACCTGGAGAGAAAAGTGTGCATCATTCTTAAGAGGAAACAGTCAATCTTCATATAATTTTTGAAACGTTGAAATTTTCAAAAACATATTACACTTTATCTCGCAAATTTTACACTTGGGTCTTAATGGCACATCAGATCTCTTTACTGTTTACCATCTTATATCATCATTAACGTAAGGAGTGCTTGTCAGCAGCCTGAGCGGGTGAGTGATTCGTTGTGCTCCTCCACCGGCGTCCCAAGAAAATTCTATTCTTCGATTTACCATCTCCACAGCCATGTAGTCACTCTAATTGATTGCAGAGAATATACCAGTAAATGTAGAGGCATATATATATCATCCATAATAATAACTCTTTTCTTTATTTATCATCTCATGGTCAATAAATCCTTCACAAGAATTTAAGAAAATGTGGGAAAATACAGAAACAATTTGCTTTTTTTATTTAAGTTTCCTATTTTTTTCAATGTAGTGTTTCATGCAAATTCATTTATTTCTTTTAATTATCTACATTCTTTTTTATTCATCAAGGCCCATTCCTGCTTACTACAGGACACCAAGAATGATGAGAAAACACACAACACACTTTATAGGTTGTCATTCATTCATATTTATTGCTGTTATAAATGCATTCGACAAAGACCCTGTTCAGTTCCCTCCAGATAAGATCTTATCTATAAAATCTTGTTACAGCCTTCCTCCCCATCTTTCATCTGCCCTTTGTTTTCAATATTCTCTGTTCCATATTTTCTTTCATCATTCCTTAATTGCAGTTAATAGTGTACTCATAATTATGCCTGTCTCTTCCCCTTAATCAGAACTGTCAGCCTCTCATTCCACCATTCATTCCCCTCTTGTTTTCATCCATTTCTCAACGACATCAACACTTCATACTCACAGAATTATTAGTTCCAAGATACACCAAGAGAGCATTTCTCTCAGAGTTGGTGATGCCATAGCTCAGCATGATATTGGTGGTTGTTGATGGCTGAAGTGCAGGTCGATACTTCCTTGTACATATTCCTGAAGAATTGGTTGTAAGAGAGACACGAATCTGAAAGACACCAGTTATGTGTATATTACAAGAAAATAGTTAGAAAAAAAATGAACACCTTTACACAAAATTCTTAGTAAGAGTGGCTGAAAGAGATTTTTTCCTCCGACTTCATTCTGCAAAAATGGATGACGAATTTATAAAGATGGGGAGTCACTTACAATAAAGGAGTAGATTTATTCAGCTAGATGACTCTTTTAACATTACAGAAAATGACAAATGTGATAAAAAACTTACTGAAGATGCATACTGTCTTGTCTGCTTGATTTTTCGCTTAAGAGCCTCAATCCTCTCTCTTAGATCATTACTATAATTCTCGATCCTGTCACCAGTCTTGCGGAGATTATTGGCTTTTCGAATTCCTTTCATAGTGTGACTCTCACCTGTTGATACTGTGCCCAGGGAAAAAGTTGAAAAAAAAATCACTACTGGAGCAGGAGGAGCAATCCCATTCTAGTTTTACCTTACAGCTGTCATCAAGTAATCATGGCTAACTCATACAAGCATGGTGAATGGCTATAAGATGTTGATAATGATGATGATGATGATGATGATAATGATGATGATAATGATGATAATGATGATGATGATGTACTTTTATTCTATTTTTTACTTCATCCTGCCAAGAAAAGCTATTTTTTTAATGATAAAATTTGAATATTTAAAACATCCACAATAGTCCAAGTGTGTAATAAAACATCCATTTAATTATTTCCTTACTTGTTTCTCTTATTTCATAAAGAAGCGAGGCATCAATACGGCTCAGTTCCAGCGCTCGTTCTCTAATGATGGTGAGGTTCATGTGGATGGCATTTATATGGTCCAAAGTTTTCTGGACATTAGAGTATGTTTCTTCAGTTCTGTCCAGTACTTCCTGAATATCAGTGGAGATACCTGAAAATACTCATCAATAATATGTCTTCTTGCTGCTACTGTGTAATGCTGGGGAAGGGTGAAGTAACAGGTCATCTGCTACATATTCTACATTTTGGAGACATTTTGAAAGCACATACATGTTTCCTTAGTGTACAGCAGTGGTGTCAACTCAAAACCTTTCGAGGGCCAATTCTTATTTTAGTTACCCTCTTCAGGGCCAACACAAGTGCTATATCACATATTTGCAGGATTGAAGTTTACAGCTTCACACATTGCCTTACCTGGCTTACCAGGAATACCTCATTTGGGTTTGTCTGATCTTAAGTACGTTAAATTCATTTTACTAAATAAACATGATTATATCTATTTCTATCATAATTTCACGGGATGATAAATTTTAACGTCATCCCGCGGGCCATGAGTTTGACACCCCTGGTGTACAGTATATATATATACTCAACCACTACAACAGAAAACTGTTTACTTATGGTAAAAATAGGTTTGTCCAAGCATCATGTATAATAAATATGTACAAAGTTGATCTTAGTATTGCCTTCCTGGCCATGTTTTCTGATTGAACAACAGGAAAAAAATGCCAGTGAGAAATACTAAAACAAAATTAAATTGCCAATTACTGTTTTACAACTCACTTGTGGAAAGTTGAGTTTCCATAAGTGTGCTCAGCCCATTAATTCGATCATCAGTAACACCCAGAATTCCCTTTGCAGTTCCAAGAGCACTACGCTGTTTATCTAATTCTGAGAATTGCTGCCCTACTGTCATCTTCAGTTCTTCTCCCTTTGAGTGTAACTCTTCAGACTTGCGAAGAGATTGTGTTGCCCGACGCACCAGAGATTTATCTGGATCACCAGGGTATGCCTGTAACATGTGGTATGGGAATTAAACTAATGTTTTCCCTCAACACTCTTACACCGAGATACACACTACTAACTCTCAAACACATGTGCTCACACAAAGCCAGTACTGTACTGTACTTTAATATGGCTACCACATGTAACTTACAGGACAAAGAAGCTTAATGAATGTGAACTCTTTACTAAATTTCAACTCCCTTCATTCTTCATGGTTAGCTCTTGTCCATTTAAAAATAACACCCACTCCTACACTTACTCTCTCAACATACGTCACAAACAGTGGCTCCTCAAAACACTTAATGCAAGTCATCTACACAATAAACACATGCCACCATCTTATATAATCCACCCAAAATAATAAACAAATTAAGCATTATTTGTTACAATACCTTTCCACTTACAAATGTCATAGTATTTTGAGAGCAATATACTGTACTGACATTATAAAAGTAATGGCTTGGCTGTTTTAAAGTAATATCTATCATCCCAAAAGTAATGATGCCAAAGCCATCTTAAAGCAATGTCTCACCACTTTGAAAGCTGTCTCAGCAGCTAGTGAAGCATTTTTAGCTGCTTCTTCAGCACTCAACAAAGCATCCACAATCCTTTGGTAAGCTTGAGCTGCTTGTAGTGGTCCAACAGCAACATCTCTTGTTTTGTTGAATAAACTGTTAAGACACCAAAGTATAAATAGAGGAATCACTAAAAAAAATTAAGTACGTACATCTTAAATAACACATAACACATCCATATGAAAATGAGAAAGCAATGTTATAGAAAAAATATATAAACTGTATAGTAGCATATATTTAGACACAATTTTATGATATTTAATTTATTTTCTGTCCATCTGCCTCTTGTAGTTTAATTTCTGCACTCAGGTGAGGATGACAACCATTACTTTCCCTAAATACTGCCCTTAAAAGAATCATCCGTGAATCAACTATGTCCACTAAATGACATCACTTCAAGGAGGATACAGTTTTAAGAAATTTAATCACTGTATTAGCATGGGTTTCATATACAGGGAAACAATTACCAACTGTTTAAATAATCTGGAGTGTTTTCAGTAAGTATACTGTACACAGATATGTCACTCAAAGAATAAAATAGTGACAGAAAACCAAAGGTAAAAGTAAGAAAAAAAATAAAAACAAGTGCAAGGAAAACAAATACTATAATAAATATGAAATAAGAACCTGTGAGAAACATTGAGGAATATAAAATTTTAAGTCCACAAGATGATATAGTGAAAAGAGAGAGAGAGAGAGAGAGATATTTTTGTTTTTTTATACTATTAATTTGGTCTGGAACAAGTACATCTTTGAAAACATACAAATAGATGAACTGAAAATATTTCCATAAGTATGTTGAAGCCTTTTCCCCCCACTTCCTGTACACACACACACACACACACACACACATATGCGTTTTCCTATCATTAGTAGACATAATTAATTCTTCTTATAGTAACAGATGTGTCAGGCTATCCTTCCATCCAAAACAAGGCCATAAATTTGGTTATCTCAGTTTCTTCATTCAAACAAGGATGCTGATAGTAAACAAGTGAAACATCTGGCCTGCACAAATTCACAACATCAGGCCTGCACAAATTCACAACATCCGGCCTGCACAAATTCACAACATCCGGCCTGCACAAATTCACAACATCCGGCCTGCACAAATTCACAACATCCGGCCTGCACAAATTCACAACATCCGGCCTGCACAAATTCACAACATCAGGCCTGCACAAATTCACAACATCAGGCCTGCACAAATTCACAACATCCGGCCTGCACAAATTCACAACATCCGGCCTGCACAAATTCACAACATCCGGCCTGCACAAAATATAGAAGAATTATTTAACTCGGCAATGGTTCCAAAAACTGTGGTAACAGGTCGGACATCTGCCAAGCATCCAACACAACCTTCTGGCTGTCTCATCCCTCATATAAACCAACACCCTGAGTTATAGTGTAAAGTAAAACTCCTCAGGTTGGGTGGATATTATAATACAGGTTAATAAAGGAACCTGTCAGCTGTCTTCCACTGATAGCACCATGATATTTTCTATACACTGTAATAGTACTGGAGAGAATCACATAAATGCCTAAGTTTTAAATCCACAGCCCCAGAGAGATTAAATTAGAATCATATACAGTACAGTAATAGGAAATATACAAACCTTTCTAATCGAATGGATTCCCTCATAAGTTCCATCGCGTGGTCATGGGCTCTCTTGACAAATTTGTCCTTGTATTCAATGTTGAGTCTCCACAATACACCTTCAAATTCTTCAAGATAATTGGATCCATTTCTTAGATCAATCAACAAGTTGGTCAGATCCTAAATAAATAAAAATAAATTTTGGTAGCATTAAATTGTCCCAACATTTTATAAGTTAGTCTTCAAGGATTCCTAAAGCTACACTACTCAGGTACTCATCTTCTAGTTCACATGCCTTACAGTCTATGATCACCAACATCTGAATAGTGTTGCCCCATATAAAGTTGGACACTAACACTACCATAATTGAAGGTAGGGACATGCTGCAACTGGAAAAAAATTGGCACAAGTCACATTGTCAGAACAAGTAAATGCTTTATCAACTAATAAGACATTTAAAATTTTATTTCATTTATTACATTGATAAGTCTAATTGTAGCTTCAAATGAAAATTTTTTGAATCTTCATTTATTTCCTCTACACCTAACTTAAACCTGATCCTGAATACTACTGTATCATCAATAAGATTATCCCTACTCCCCACCCTACCTTAACTCAGGAGACAGGTCATGTGACCTGATTCCCATGTTTTGTCTTTCTCCCTTGCTTTGTTTTGTTAGTTGGCTGAAGAGGGTCCTAGTATACCATCTCCAATATTTCGTGTTTTATTTCTCCATTGTGGGTTTTTACTTCATTTACCAGTATGACCATTACAATTTTGGAATATCCTACATATTAACAGTTCACCTCGTAATGTAAGCGTTACATTTATTTATTATAGGGGGTATATATATAAACAGCTTAAAACAATAACATACAAAGCTATGACTCGTGCTTACATCATAATTAATTTTGGTGTTGATGAGATTTTTGTTTGCCTCCTTCAGCAGCTGGGTAGAGTTGAAGTTCTGGTTGTCAATAATGTACCGAGAGTTCTTGATCTCTGCCGAGTACGTCTGCACACGAGCGAGTCTCTTGGCATTGTTCTTATTCAACTCAGATGCCTAAAATAGGTAAAAGAGAGAGAGAGAGCTTAACCATCATGTGCTACCAAAAAGATTTAGAGAGCAACACAGTAAGACCCTCAAGTTCACCAAATAATACTGTAAAATGGTTTAGTTTACACTGATAACTTATGAATCCAGTAGTATTTATATTTGCCATAAAATTGCAATATTAACATTACTCAAGCAAAATAAATTAAAGTAATAAAACAGGAAAAAAAAAGGCATGTGAATGAGAACCATTAACTTAATTGTATTATGGCATCCCTAGGAGCATTTATGAGGGTGAAGGCACTGTATTGTTGTATATTTCTCACACATTTAAACCCATGTTACAATATAATGATCAGTAAGCATGAACACTGAAATTTCAAAAGGAAAAAAGGAAAGAAAAAAGTAGGTTGACTTATCTGGCATAACAGGATGATGATGATGATAATAATGATAATAATAATAGTAATAATAATAATAATAATAATAATAATAATAATAATAATAATAATAATAATAAAAATTATAAGAGAGACTGGGCCAGTTAATTTTTCCATCAGATGTCAGCAGTTCCATGGTAATATCTTAAAATGTTTTACATGTAGCGTGTAATCATTTGTGCGTAATCATTTAGGTTTAAAGTCCCTAGTTCCTTATAAAAGTATTGTCCATATCTGACAGCTCACAAAATTGGTCAAGTTCACTTAACTATTGGTCCCAATGATAGGAGAACTGGAGGGGTCTTACGATGTTTGATTTTTAAAACCTCCACATATCTTTGGTCCCCAATCTGGTCTATATTGTCTCATAGAAATACATATCAACTATTCTAAATTATAATTTTATTGCCAAAACAAAATAATAATTGGTGGTGCTCAATAACCACAACTTCACTTTTATTTACCTCATTGGTCTTCCGATTGGCCGCTTCTATTCTTTGCAGTAGTTCCTTAAGTTTGTTCTCAATATCCCTTATGTGTGTGCGACCTGCTTCTATTAACGGGTGTTCTTGATCCATTTTCATTATCCGTTTGAGCAAAATGTGAGCCTTACTGTAATGAAGATATTAGATTCACGTTGTTATGACATTTATATACGGTATATTTAAAACGTTTCTTAGGTTATGGAAATGTGAAAGTACAAGATTATTCTGTGTGTTGTTAGGTGTTCAATATTAGTTCTTGTATATAGAATTAATTGACTTTGTCCCAGGATAATCAATTCTTCACTTATAGACAGTATGCTGGTGTGTATGAGTACGTACATGTGTATGATTATACTGGGCTTATTAGTATGTATACAGTACTGTACTCAGCAGCCTGGAATGAAGTACAGTACTGTATATTCAACTATCTAAATGCTGTGTATATAAAAACTGAGAACTGAAATTCAATAATACATGTACAGCACCATACAATGATTTTCCCTGACATAAACAGCTGTCTTGAACTAATGTTAAAATCTAGAAAGTCAAAATTTAATTCTGTAAAAATTATTTCTATAATAATGACAACATCTATCAAAACAATGGTTGATTTATTAATACAGTATATGGTCTCAAACCTCAGCTCAATCTTGGCTTCAGCATCATTTTTGGTGAAATTACGCTTCTGAATCTCTTTCAGAATCTTTTCAGCTTCCATCATGGCTCCACCTATAGATATACTTGGTGTTTCTCCAATGGCATAGTTTTTCAGGTATGCAATAGTCTCTGAAGAGGAATACAAAAATTAATATCAGTTTAATGTGACAACAATAAGGTAGTGATTCTTTAAACATTTCTTTAAAAGAACTATGAATGCTCAATAGCCACCACAGAATTCATACTAGTGTACAGAGGAAACACACATATCTCCCTCAACTGCATCTAGTTTCAATCCCTGGCCTGGAACCGATATGAGAAGGGTGTTATCCAGTGTGACTCTACCAAACATGCCAGGTTCTCTCCCGGTGCTGTACTCTAGTTCCTCCTGTACTAACACTGGACAATAAAGGACATAACCAAGAACAGACCCAATGCCCAAATGACTACAAATCTGATAAGTGGTAAAAGGATAATAAATGAAATCAACATCATGTAAATTCCAATGATGCTATAAACACTACTGAAGGCATTATAACAGAATAAGAACCAACCAAATCCTTCAAGAAATTACAGATTTATTTCATACCTTCAATAAACTTTCCTTCCACATCCCAAAAAACTTACACCACTTACCATCAATCTGAGTATAAAGACCATTCAGTATGTCTAAGATTGACTGAGCCTCTAGTCTGAGTTTTGCTGTCGGTGGGTAGGTCTCTCTTGCTGCCGCCTCCAACTGTTCTGCCTGTGATAAATAAAATTCCTAAGTAAAAAGACCTAAAGCATTCATGTTTCATTTATGTGACTCTGAATATTGGGAGGCTGGGGGGAGGGAGGTTAATGTCATATATATTTGCGATAAACAACACAAATCTTCACTCTTCTATCTGACTTCTTATTGTCCCTCTTGTGTACCCTTGCTGTAAAAAATAAATCTCTTCCTTTATATTTACTCTAACTAATCAGCATGACCGCTTCTTGCACATGTCTGCCAAAATATAAAAATAAATATTCTTTCTCTTCCTAATTTTCCATCTTTTTTTTCACCGCCTATAATACCCCAGTACTTACCCTCTGCTTGAGATCTTTGGAATAATAGTCGAGATCAAATTCCACCACAAGTTCCTGAGACACGTCAACATTACTGTGGTATCTGTCGAGCTGATATCTTAGGATCCTCGTCACATTTTGGAGCTGAAAGGATAAGTAAATGTCTATCATATGTTTCATAAGATATACTTATTAATTTCAAATCTAACAGCAGTTCTGTTTACAATGTACAAAAATGTTTTAGTCATGTGAAATATAATCTGATATGAAGAACAATATCAATTATTATTTATAAAAGAGAGAACAACTGAAGTAGGTGGATACAAGAATATTAAGTCTTGTATTTAAATTACAGTACACTACAGGACTACAAGATACTGTATTTAATTTTTTAACATTCAACAAAGGCATCCCATAATGGCTGACCAGTAACTTCACCCTATCTAACTTTATGAAAACATTTGGCAAGCTGTTTTTGCTTTATTCAAGGCAAATATAAACATCTCAATTTAAACATAAGAATAATCACAGAGTTGAAAGTTGTTCTTATGCAGGTATTAAGCATTTCTCTGTGGTCAAGATGTTTACCCAGCAAGGAGTAAGTTAGGAGTACATTTCCCTACAAGTTTATCATGTTCATTTTTATAACTACTGTACTAACTTACATCATATAAGATAAATAATTAAAATCCCCATTGTTCTGTATTATTCTCACAACAAGAACTGATTCTCGGCAAGATAAAGTACTACACATACCTCTCTTATTGTGGGCCACGGAGCTGGTACATAGGCTGTTACATTTATTGATGTAGCAGCTCTTATCATCTGTTCTACTTCATCAAGAAGAATGTTCACACAGCCATCTTCACAAGCTGAGATACAAAAAACATCCAGTAATGTAACTGTTGTGCTTCATGGGGGTTAAGCCTGACATTATCATTGGTAAGAAAGGGTCAGCTTATGATGAGGCCATACCATGAGTAATCACTAATGAAGGTAACAGTCTAGCAATCCTGCTGTGCACAGGACTCAGATCAATGGTTTATTGGGTATGTCACCACAAATACAAATTATTAAATATTTCTGATGGATATAATGAAGTTTCAAGACTCCATTTGTTACTTATCATATTTCTAAATATACTGTACAAGGAATATATCACATCATACCTAATCAAAATCTCATTACCATTGTTACACAAACAAACATAGCAACTTTTTGAAATAAGGAATCATTAAAGAACTTACATCTACAGCCTGTTGCAGAGGTGACATGCCTAGACGCACACTGAGAGCAATCTCTTCCAGTGATCCCTGGCTTGCAGGTGCACACCCCATCTCGGTCACATCCTTCATGAACACTACCAAATGGATCACAATCACAAGGGCGACAGTAACCCCGAGGCTGTGACGGTCGTCCATAGTAACCATGGTCACATCTGGTAGAGAATTCAGATGACTTTATAAAGCTTAAATAAAAATATTAAATGTTGTTTAAGCACAAATATGAAGCTATTTAAATAAGTCCTTGTTCAACTAAGGAACAGTAATTGAAAATGCAATTTTTCTCCCTTATGGGTATTATTCCTTCATTGTTTAATAAAGTTTTTAGCTCCATACATCCTAACCTTTTTTTATTCACATTCAACTACTCAATATAGCTCAGTTAATAACAAAAATATTTTCATTGAGTGTCAAAAAAGTTGATGCAAATGTAATTCCTTCCATGAGCAATTTCTATCCTTATAATTCAAACATTCCTTAAATACTAACTTCGTAATCATATTCTCAAGTGACTGCCTCTGTTTTGTCGGTCTCCAACAAATCTTCCTTAACCCTAGCAGAACTACACTGCACTTTATATGTCAAGAGATGCCAATTCACTTGCTAAATATATATAATGGATGCCCCACGTATCCAAGCCTGGCCGGCCCTAGGGCCACCTAAGTGCGAATTTATTTAAAGTGTTGAAACCGTTTTCAACACAAAATCCTTATCTGAACCAATGTCAAGGAATAATCCAGGAAGACCAGACAACTCACCAACTGCACTGGCTAACCATTATCCCCAGAACATGACCTGCACATCAGAAACAGCCAGGTCCCCAATTACTGCTGGGTAGACTGAGGCAAATAGAGTAAGGAAACTTGCCCAGGGATTGAACCTCAAGATGAGCATGTTGAGTATTACACCACAAGTCACCATCTTGCTAAATACATACTAAGTACAAAAACTGAAGCTCTTCCTGGTGCTAACTATCCTGCCAACAGATATATACAGACAGCACTGACTGTCCTACCTATGCAATCCTGCCAGCTTAAGTAACAATTAAGACCCAAGCCTATATGAAGTTTTCCTATTTTATGTCATCATTTAATTTCTTTCAAGACTTACTTCACCTTATTCAGCTGGTATTGGAGTTAGGTTAATTTATAGTTAAGATGTCTAGGTTGCACACTTGCCTGTTACATTTAGCGCCTGTGTAACCAGTACGACAATGGCAGATATAACCAGCATAACGGTCAGCCTGACAAGTCTCTGCAAAATTTTGTTCCAGAGATGGACATGCACAGGGTTTGCACCGCTCTCTGGCCGGGTTACCGTAGTATCCAGTGGCACAAACTTCACAGTGATCCCCCATTGTATGATCTCGACAATTCTGAGGAAAAAGAAATGAATAATAAGTTTCTTGAGCAAACAACTGCTGCTTCAGAGAATAAAAACCAATGTAAAGCTTATCCAAAAATTATCGATATTCTAAAGTCTAATGGAATAAAAAAGAGCGACAGCCTCCAACGTGTTCATATATCGGTTGGGCTGTGTTGGTCTTCACCCGATGCTTCACATTCTATCAGATGTTCGGGACCGCGATACTTTTTGGACTGGCTGTACATTATACAAGGGAGAAGCTCTGAGTGTGTGTGTGTGTGTGTGTGTGTGTGTGTGTGTGTGTGTGTAATGATGATAATAATAATAAAATGGCTTATTAAGAGAAAATAGCAGCCAAATGCCAAAAAAACACAATGAACAGAATTGACACTTTACATATGATAACACTGGGAGTTGACAAATTGAGCAAATTACCCTGAGAAGCTGAAAGTCTTGTATGAACTGTAACTGTCTAATCAACGGTTTAATCAAGTGAATGGGTATTACTACACATGTTTTATGAAACTTCTAACAAAAATGAAACAGTACAACACATCTATTCTTTATACTGTACTGCCATGCCTTGACTAGTACTAAAAACTAGAGTACAATACTGTTAACACTTTAGTGCATGAAAATATATGTACTGAGCACAAAAAGACTAACAGAAGACTAATAAATACAGGAATATCCAAGTTATTGCAAAAGATCAGATCCTAAAACATATTGTGACTATCGGGACAATTCTTCCCATAAGAATCAATGTAATTAGGGGGATACACATTCCTAGCCAGCAACTTTAAACACATATTTTTTTATATACAGTACAGGTACAGGATACACTGTACTGAACATAAACTGCCAAAGGTGTGAAGGTTGTCGTCTTACCTCACATACACCAGTTTCTGCATCACAAGTTTCAGAGCGTCCGTTACATCGGCACTGGCGTGACTCTCCCACTAAATCAATGATGATTGTTGACTGAATGTAATTATTCTTGTGCCAACGATAATATCCTGAAATTTAGAGTCATTATATATAATCTTCAGGCTCACATTTATAACCTATTTACAATCATAGTATGCTATCTACTTTACTTACAGTACATTCAACAGATTTCCATAATTCTTAACATACAGTACTGTACTAACAAAAAATCTTATTACAAATTACCAGTACCAATATAAATTCCAGACCGAGCCATATCAAATCTATTGTTTTTGTTTGTTTTTTGGGGTCACTCAGGCTGATAAATAATATTGTATTGTACTGAAAAAAAAACCCAGATGTAATACCCTGCAGAAGGAAACATACCACTGTTAGGATTCTGACAAGAAGTGCCTGTATAGTTAGATGAGCAAATACACTGCTCCACACCAAGGGCCACCCGGGATGACACTGGAGAGCCCTCAGCAGCGACATCCAGAGTCACATCATGAATACTGTAGATAAGGAACAACCAATTAAAAAATACAGATAAGATATAGTACAGGTATCCAGAGAAGGTAATAAAGTTGCAATCTTCAATAATATATGAACTATAATGAACAGACTACATTAGAAGAATATCTTTAATAAAATAAATATCAACTACAATACAAATTATCTTTTATCTATTTACTTATTATCATCCATTCCCACTTTTGCAGGGAGTAGATGAGAGGAAACAGAAACCTTCATAAGGGAATGACTTGGTAAGGGAAACTTATACAAAAAAACCCACAGAGACAACATGAGAGGGCAGACAACACTGAGAAGCACTTCATACACACCACCTCATATCCTCAATGTGCATACAATATACTGTATATAAAATGGCCCCTGATCTTTAGCAAAACAATCCTGATTTATATATATATATATACAGGTATTTATATATAATGCTCCTATATGAGTCAATCCCAGCTTCTGAGAAATACTGGTAGGTCTAGTTGAGGATTTAACTACTGAAACCATGATATGACTAATCAATGATAATTTTGCTTTAATATGCTATACAATAAGTTCCTCCACCCCTCCTCTAATTATGCTTGGATTTCAAGATTTTAACCCCTTGAAAATGTTACTCAATTATAGGTCAACCCATAACTTATAAATGAGTATACTGCACTGTACATAACTAGAGATCTTTTTAACTTTAACTACAGAACCATCGTGCCATATCAGTGTACAGTACTTACGATGCAGTGGTGGCATCTGCAGCATGAGTAGCACGGATCAGGATGTGCTGGATATTTTGTAGTGCAATCATCATCATTTCACGAGTCACTTTCTGGGGCTTGTTCTTCAACCTCCAATAATCTTCGTGTAATCTGAAGAGTGTAAACATTATGAAGAAATGAGAGAAACTGAGCTTGTCTTTAAGTGAGTGTTAGGATTATGGTCGACTATATAATGAGTGTACGATAATAATGACGCTGTGAAAGCTTAATAACTTTGCAAATATTAATGAATTCATGAAGAAAAGTACATACTGGAAGAAACTGCATTATTTTTTAAACATATTAATTATTACTTTAGAAAAAAATTACAAAGAATGGAGACTTTTTCATAATTTTGGGGGTTTTATTCACAAATCTAAGCAATCAATTTTTTTTTTATTGCTGAATTTTCATGAACCAAAACTTCCCAAATAGCTACCTGAAGAGTCATGAATTATAGAGGCTTTCCTGTAGTTTTATCTCAATATATACACCATAACTACAAAATAATACAAGTTAAAAATTACTAATTCTAACGAACTTGACTTCATATCTGCCATCAGTAGATATAGCAGGTGGATAATACTCCAACACCAGCTGCCAGTTGCCTTGTAATGACACTAATGGATACGACTGAAGAATCTGGTCTGGGAAGATCTTGTTGCCACCTTCACTATGTACTCTGAACCTCAGGTACCCATTATAAGATGTGACCTGAAAAATAAACAAATACAGTACAAATATTAATAAAACAGTAAAAAATAAATAAAACATGGAGAAATGATCCTGTTATCTCATTTACCACAATAACCGAACCTGGATCATGCAACTCCATACAGTACAATAAAGTCAGCAACTCCACAGCCTGAATACAGTACACTGAGTTCCTAAGTAATACATCACATGCCATATCCTTGATTGATGAAGACTGAGAATATTGAGTTTTGTTGCTGACCAATCACCAATGTACCTCTCAAATGTCACAGCACAACTAGAGCCATTTCATGATAAACCTCTTACAGTAATTCCAGAAACTAAAGCCACTTAATCTTCAGCATAAGGCTCCACCATGAAAAAGAAGCTAATGTACTTCTTAAACTAAATTTATCATAGTGTGTGGAGATGATGCCAATTTTATTTTTGTATCTATTACATTATCAGCAGTTAATCCCATTTACTCTATCCATGATACTATTCATTGTGTATTAAGTTATAAGAATATTCATGCACTCTCTGCCTGGGTGGGGGGTTGTGGTATTGGGGACTGATTCACTGTTCCCACAAACATATTCCTTCTGTTTTCCATAGTTGCAGTTACCTCCACTACATCCCCTTGCATATCATCCACAAGGCTTGGTCACTGTTGTTCCTTGGTTTCTGTCTTTTCAGCTTCAAGAGTACCATGTGCTCCTCCCTCTGCCCTACAGTGCAATCTGGAGTCATGAAAGTGTTCTGAATGGCTTGGTTCTGATTCTTTGCTAGGAGTTGTGTCTGTGTATTATACCAATCTGTCTCCCCATCTTCTACTGGAACCCTCTAGTGATGTGGTTTATTCTCTTTCTTCTTCCCTGGCCCAGCCACTTTATTTAGGACAATTGTTACATTCAGGGCCATCTGTACATGTTTTTAAAATGAACTGTCATGAACCAGGTACTTTTCTAGTCTCAGCCTCAACTGACTGACTCTCGGGAAGTCCATATATATACAATACAGTTCTTGAGCTCAGAATAATCCTGAAGTTTCTGTTCCTATGTAAATATTGACTCTTAATCTGCATCACACACTCCTGGAGAACTACTAAGTGCTGTATGATGTTATCCAATCCTACATCACGAATTCCTGCAGAACCCAAGTGTAATTTCCCTTGATTAATGCCTTGATTCTTCCAAATGCTTCCTCAGCTTTAAGAAGAATATGCTTCTTAACTTGCTCTATTTCGCTGATAACTTGGGATCCAGTTATCTCTATTTATGACTGAACTTCTTTAATCCTTATGGTTTGTAATAGCCTCATCAACATTAATGCTCACAGTCAAGGCAATGCCAGTGGCAAACAGTGGATTCCAAAACTACTGTAAGCTATACTTGCTATTATAACCATTAGCACAAACTTTACAGTATGTCTTTGATATATATGTAACACTTCTTTGAAGCCTTCATATAAACTGCACCAAATTCACAACTCTACACTTGCGAGTCTTTTCCTACTTGGATGAAAGGTGGCAGGAACCCACACCAAACACTTACTACTCTCCATTCACTATAATTCATTCATTATCGATGCTGCAACAGACAAGTTCTGCTGGTGTTCCTCTTCTACAACAAGGTTAAAAAAATTATTTCTACGTTGCCACCATTTCATACAAACCAGCTTAATGTATCTGGAATATGTTCATCTCCATAATCTACAAGATGTTGGTCATTAAATTCTATTACACTTTACTAAGACCAATACAGTACAGTACCCTATTTACATCACCAATATATGCTAACCTTGTCTCTCTTGAATCCCCTGGGCAACTGCCAGTAGAGGGGAGCATCAAACAGTAGTGTGGAGCCAATGGTGACATCACCCTGAGTGTCAGGAATGACATGCAGCTGGTTGGTCACGTTGACTCTTGTTTCACCTTTACCGAAGTTCAGGAGTCTTTGTCCAGGAAGTGCTAACTGTATGAGGCAACAATAAAATATTAAACTTATATTTTACAGACCATGACTAGTCCCGGGAGTTAATGTTAATGGTTAAATGGGAATGTATTAACAAATACGTAATGTAAAAAAAAATTGAGCCTCACCTCAATTTACAGATATAACTTGTAAAATTTTCACTTGGGTGCAATATAAATATCTTTAAAAACCAATGTATTAAAATGGCAACAGGTATAGTATATCTCCTGCAGGGCTTCCCGCATTCAGGGGAGAAATTAACAAATTTTTCTTTTAATTTGACTGGACACATGATCATAGATTTATATTAAAAAGATATTCTTGAGGATAATTATCAATTTAGAGTAAACTTTTGTACATTATTAGTGATAAATTAATTTATAAATATATATTTTTTAAGACTGCACTTGATTATGCACATTTATCATAGAATAAAAAGTAATCGAGATGAGTTTCTATATATACATCTTATTGAAAAAGTGAGAGCAGGATCTGTTTAGCAATAATAATAAAGGTGCAGACAGCAAGAGGAACATTAATTAATGTACACTTGGCTCAAATATAAAGCATAATAGGCACATGGCATAAAAGATGATATACCTGTTGGACAAAACACAAATAAAAACATGAATGACAGCATCCACAGTAAACAGCATGGCAGAACAGACCTGAGAAAACTACAACACTAAAAGCATAATATAATGTGCATCATAAGACACTGCATGAAGAGTCAAGTAAAGCATGGATGGGGTTTACAGTTTTCAGTAATTACATTGATATAGCATATCTCCTGCGTGTTCCAAGGGCGGACTACCACAATTGGCGGGCGAAAGGGTCGTTCTCCAGGCACGGGCTGTCGGTACTCGATGGTCAGTACCCGCCCATCCCGCATCCGCAGCTGTAAAGGTGGCGGTGAGGATGGTGTGGAATATGAGCCTATTGAGATGATCATGAGGTGAGTCAGCTTTAAGTATGAGTAATGGTTAAGGAATAAGTTTATGGTAGAGAGGGTTTAAGGCAGTGTGAGTTTATAGCTTTGGGAACTGATGCCAATGAAGGTTTAAATTAGCGGACTCACTAGTATAGGCTTTTGGCAGTTCGAGTTTATAGTAATACAGCTTTAGGTGGTATATATTTATGAGAGTAAGGGCCCATATAGCATGTGTTCGTGGCAATGACAGAAATTATTATGTGGAGGAAGGGGGGAGGGGGGGGGTAGGAGGAGTAACCTGAAGACCAATTAGGGTTGTCCAAAGGAAAATGAGTTTACTGGGGTATTTAAGAATGTAGAGAGAAATGTATCAAGATTATTCGAAGACCAGTGAGAGATAAAACTACATTGCTTCCAGATTCTTTTAAGACACCTACACATAATACTATCCCAGGAGTGAAGTTTGAAATATCGTTTTATAGCCACTGAGATAAACCTACCAGACTACCCACTAAAGGCTGTCTGTCATGTTTAGGAAGATATCTGTGTTGTGAGGCAAAGACAATATCCAGTTGAAACAGAGCAAATGTTGCATAAACAGCTACTCACCCAAGAAACCACAATTTCTGAAGCAAAATTTGTCATTATTTTGGGGGTTGTTTGAAAATCCAGTTAACCAGAAAGTAAACTGCAAGAAACAAGGAATATTTGGCTTTACTTGGGTCACAAACACCAATCTTCACATTCCTCTGCCAATAAAGAAACCCAGCAATGAATGAATGAAGGATTCCAGGTCACTCGTCCCTTCTCTTCAGCCATAAATGGGGTTTCTTGATACATCAAGCCTTTGTTTTATGGTCATTTCACAAGTACATTCCAGCATCACAAAGTTTGGTAAATTTTTCTTCACTTCGTCACTCAGTGGGTGAATCCTCTTTGTTTACTTAAGACAGATCATCACCAAACATGCCTACAAATTAACTATCACAATGGTAATCATCTCAGACAAAAATCAATTAGAGAAATGAATAGTCCACAAACTCTTGCTGGCAGTGAACTCGTAAAACAAACATATAAAATTTTCTTCTTGCAACAAATAAAGACGTATCAGTACTCTTAAAGGAACTGACACTGGATTGTAAAACCAAGATATAAATTATAATATGAGTCGAGAGTATTCCATCATGTCAACTTCAAGAAATTAGGAAGGAACACTGTCTTGTTTCTGAGAGTAGGCAACATATTGACAGGTTCAACAGACCGAGAAATGTGAGGACTAATGTTTAAGACTCAAGAGTATAGAGGTTTGAGTCAAGCAAACTATTTGAACCTTTAATCTGTTGTATCTTTAGGCTCACTGACTTTCGAATCAACCACCAAGTTGGATTTAAAGACTGATTCAGTGAAGCAAACAACTGCTTATGGAGCATTTACAGTGATCTGTCAAGCGAGTCACTACCTCCAGAATATAAACAGTTCAATAAAAAAGGCAGAATATGACAAGGGCTGTTCCAGAGGGCTGATATCATAGACCACTTGTTAAATGACTCATAGACCATAAAAGCCATTTACAGTATCTATTACCCAACAAATAATGAATTGGGGTTTAAACTGATTCTGAGATCAGGGGAGCAAGATACACATACAGTACTTGTATGTGAGTTAAGTATTTACTGTCTGATTGGTCACGCACACACGCACGCACGCACGCACGCACGCACACACTGTCACTATGTTGAAATGAACTGTAGTTTGAGCTGATCCCATCTAAGTTACTATATGTCTTATTTGAGTCACTTATGTCACTTGTATATTATTTGTAATTCGTAACCCATTCCCCAAATATGTAACTGTATATTTTCAGCCTTCTGGCTGCCAAGCTCTTTCAATAAACCGTTAATTATTATTATTATTACACGCACACACACACACACACACACACACACACACACACACACACACACACACACACACACACACACACACACACACAGTTTTACATTAATTTTAGCTTGTCTGGTGTTCTGAATGCTATTCCAGTATGATAACTGTGCATCACAAAACCACAGCATCACCAAGGTAATGAGGATGCCAGGGGCTGATTATGCCAAGAATGATTATGATGACAATGTGAAATTTACATGAATGTTTAACTAAGGATGTACCTTCAGAAATGTAAAGGTGCCGATGTGTACTAGCAACGTTTAAGGAGTCGAAAATACAAAATAATCACAAATCTGAGCTTCAAAATGTCAGGCACTTATGAGGACACAGGGGCTACTAATTCCAGGTACCTGTACATGTACTAAGATACAACACTGTACTAGGATAAAACTCTCTGCTTCTATATGCATCAAATAAATCAAGCGATACAGAAACAGTGAGAGAGACAATATGATCAAGAGAAAAATACACAGAATAGAAGTGCAAAAAAATATTATGGGGAGAAAAAGGAATGAATTGAAACATCAAATAGGAACACTCCACACAACCTCATATCCTCAGCTTTCAAACAAAGTGAATTCGTAACCTTCACACTGGTTATAATGCTTCATAGTACCTTAATACACTATGCATACTGAATTACTGGATACATCATGAGGCTCCTTCATACCAACACTACCACATCTCAACTGTACAGTATATGACCCATTTATCTCTCTCTCTCTCTCTCTCTCTCTCCATGGAACCTAATGTATTTATCCTCCAAATTCCTATAGTATTTAAACAGGCTTTTCAACTCTATTGTCTAATCTTGAACTATCACCGCTCAGAAACACCAGCTGTCTTTTATGTAGTTTCCATCCATCACCTCGGAAACCAAATCTGATGTACCCTAAAACAGTGTGGATGGTCAGCCGTGTCTATATCTATTTAGTACTTGTATACCCATAACTAAGGCCCATCTACCAGTATAATGTATCAATATGTATCTACAGTATCTCCAACTAACTAGCTGTGTACCAACTGTGAAGCCTTTCCCCAAACTTGCACAAAATCACACTCATACACTCCCTCACGTCATCCTGTGCGTTTGTCTCCGTCCCTTCTTTCAACAAGTACTGTACAACCTCTTAGTACAATAAATGTTACAACTTTCTGCCAAGATAACATACGTGTACTGTATCAATGTTGTGTAATGATCAGTATTTTTTTTTCCTATGATATTATATACTCGAGTCTCCTGGGACCAATGGTAGACTAAATATCAAAGACTGATTCTCGAAACCCCATTTATAGCTGAATTAGGCCAAAGAGACAGGACCTCCCTTTCCTCTCTATTGATTTAATGTAGAGTTCAGATGAGCTGAAGTTTATTACAGGAAATCCAGAGAGGATAAGATGGGTAAAAAGAGGCCTGAAATATGACCTCTAGGGTAACTGTTATTTCAGATTTCCATTTCTATGGGCAATGGTTGTGATACTAATTGTTTATTAGTGCCAGCCATTACTGTCAAGGTTTAAGAATGGGTTGGAGCCTGTTGAATTAGGGTACGAGTCTCCTTGTCCTGACCTGGCTGTAAATGGAGTTTTCAAGATCAATCCTTGACATTTTTTTAAAGTACTGTATATAAATTATAATTTACAAAAGTTTAATGTTTCAGCCCTATATACTGTATCTAAAACCATTATATGACTGCATTGTCTAATTATTAGTGAATTTACAAAGTAAATGTAAAAAAAAAACATTAATCTTATTTTGGCTCATGCTCATTAATACCTGTATCAGAAAAATGTGTACATCTGTATATGTGTAAGTCCAAGCTTTACCATTATGAGTGTCTGAGAGCTATTCTGCACTACAAAAGCAGTTATTAAATTACCAGTACCCAATACCAAGGAAGATTGTCTAAACTACAACTGTAAAATATTCCTCTGCTGCACTTCCTAGCCCCAACTCCAACCTCAAGTAATAGTCAGTCCTACCTGAGACCATGTGAGGTCAGCTTGTATGCACTTGTTGGTTCTCCGGAAGCAGTAGCAACTGGTACACCCAGAGGGATTGTTTACCGAAAGGCCAAATGTCCCGCCCACACACTTACCACACCTACGACCCACCACGTTAGACTGTAAAGAAAACGGGGTAAATGTTAAATTCCTTTGTACTTATCTAACAAGTGCATCGATAAATACAATACAATATAACATATACATTCCCTGTCCAGAGCTACACATGTAGATACTTCCATCAACAGCATCCTTGTCCCCTAAGTCCATACAAAATCATATTTTCTGGTCATTCATACTTTACTTTCTTTATCCTCAGTGCCACCTATCAGCTTACTAGGCATCTTTAATTAGATGCTGTGACCTCTAGTGGGATGTGGCCATTTAGTAACTCCAGATTTGACGGAGTAATGCCCTCTGATGTGCTTAAAAACTTCTAATTAAATCCTCCTTGTCCTTCTGTAATATAAACTATGTAATTGTAAATGTTCAAATATTTCTTAAGTGAGTGAGTTGTCTGAATTCTGGCATCAGTGTGGTACCCTGCTTTTGATGTTCTCAATCTCAGAGACCAAAGTCCCATTGTTTCCTGGATGGTCTATTTCTCTCCTAGCTAGTGTCTGCCACCCTATCCTTGTACCTCTTTCTCAGTCTTCCTTATCTCTCATACTATACCTCTGAAATACTGTATACACTACTTTTGCCATTCTTTCAATAGTCATTACCTCAACGTGTTCATACCTTCTAGAGCCCTGGTCTGCCTCTACCAGGGCTCTTTGTATCATTCTTTATTCTTTACATCCTATTAACTCTGGACACTCCACTATACCCACATTCTGTTGTTTCTAACTTGGGTCTTTTCTCTAAATAAATTAACTCAATGATTCTCCTGTACAACCTCACCTTTGCCTCCTTGAAATAATTCTTTCCTGCATTTTAAATACAATTAACACTTTCTTTCCTTATGCTTCTGTTGAACAAAATTTACACAGTTAAATAAGAAAGTCATATACTGGGAGTAATCATAATGCTTTTCCTGAATAATATTTCTCTGGGTAATCAAGACCAGGTTAATTACGGTACATATAATCCCTCGGTTATCCTTTTCTAACGAACAACTTTAAGGTACTGTATCTAGTAAGTAAACCTTTCAGCAGTTTGATTTGGTATAATAGAGGAAATAGATGGATACTAGACCTCTTTACCACAAACTGAAACTGTGGTATGGTGTTACTGTTGGGTGTAATATACATGCCATGGTTTGCTTTGTGGTAAAGAATGTATTTGTGCAACTTGAAAATATTGAACTGCAATGTAGGCTCAGATAACAAGTAAGGATAGTGAATCTGTAATACAAGTAAAGGTCAGAGACAAGAAGGGGATGGCTTCCAATATTCTCACTGACCTTGCATGGGCACTGTCCATTTTCATCACACTGGCATCGTCCTTTGCTATCACAGTTATGTGGATTGGTGCCTGCTTTGTTACATTTACACGGACTACATATTGGGAATCCAAAGAATCCAAACTTGCATTTACCACAATGGTCGCCTTCATAAGCTTCTTTACACACACAGTGGCCAGTACGGGAGTCACACTGGCGACTCAAAGCCCCGGCTCCTAAGCAGTTGCAAGGCTGTGAGGTAAAAAGATATAACATGTTAATGATATACAGTATATACACGTGTTAGTGTGTTTCCTGTCATCTTTATCATCCATGTACAGTAATTGTTTATTAGGAGGAACAGTGGTGACAACTTGACTGTTTGCTTCTGACACTGACTAGTTGTGTCACTTTGAATACACTCCTAATTATAAAGGGGTGATATACATATATCATCGTCAATCTATCATAAATTTATCTATCAGCCTCTATACATTTTTAACTAAGTGTTGTCATTTTAATAGTCATGGGTGATGAAGACCTCACCCTGCAGCCTCGAGACGCATGGTAATCCCAAGAGCCAGGAGAACATCTCTCACAGCGGTCACCTTCTGTGTTAGTTGGACAAATGCAACGTCCAGAATTGGGATCACAAAAATGGCCTGGACTATTGCACGAATCACAAGCTGAGGAGATATAATATGAGGTTTAAATGAATGTAGAATATTCATACTGTATATAAAAATAATTTCAGACTTAAAAAATACAACGATATTTAACACAGCGATTATAAAGTCCATATTAGTCAAACATCACGTTTCTTATTCAATGTATCTTGGGAGACTTACGTTTGCAGCCCTGCCTGGAGAATCCCCAATAACCAGGAAGGCAAGTATGGCAGCGATGGCCCCCGACTCCCGGCCGACACCGACACTGTCCGGTAGCATCGTTACACTGGGGGTGAATGCTACCTAGTTCGTGGCAGTTGCACTTCAGGCATCCAGAACCTTTCACATGACCCCAAAAACCAGGCTGAAAAAGAAAGAACAAAAATAATATATAAACAATTCTGATAATGAATTGTACTGTAATACCATATTGAATTAATTTCCAGAGAGCTACAGCATTTTTTGACATTCGAGCATTCACTGTATTGAGTGGCTGAGTCAATGGTCAAACTCGAAGTATATGTCTCCTATGTCATTTGTTGCTACATTTGCCTATTCACGTTTTACAATTGTCGATTCAGGTTGAAAAATGCCTTTGTACAGTACATCACCACCAACTGAAAACCTGACCATGCAGGCCAAATAATACTGTAATAATCCCCCACAGTGTTGGTGGTACTGTACCGTGGTAATATGTACTATATGTCTCTCACCCACGTCCTGGCTTCAATCCCTGGCCTGAGAGAGATATGAGAAGGGTGTAATACAAAGTGACTAACAAACATAACACGTTTTCTCCGGGTACTGTATTGTACAGTACAGTACTCTGATTTCCTCCTGTACTAACACTGAACAACGAAGGCCACAACAGAATAACAAAGTTCATATCAATTCAACTGCCCGAACAGCTAGTAAGCTGATAAGGGGTGAAATGATAAAAAAATAATAATAAATGCACATAATTCACAACTACTTAAAATAGCGACAAATTAATGCAACTACTGTTACTTTACTTTATCCTCTTTGCCACTGATCAGCCTGTTAGCCACTCAGGTGGTTGGTCATGTCTCTGGCAGCAAGTACTGGGCATGTACTGGATCCAAAATGTACCTGAACCTGTGTCAGTGCCAGTGTTGGTTAAGCTGGTCTTAAGTCAGTTCACACTCAGTGCTGTCACAACACTCTATGGTAGATTATTACAAGAGTTTACAACTTATACTCCAAAAAAGTTCACTTTGATAATTTTCAGTACTTGCAGTTTCTTTAACCTGAAGCCGTGATGTTCCTGTGTGGTGGGCATCCACTAGCTCCAGAAAAGAGTACAGAACTACTGTGCTTGATTGAGTTATGTCGTCTGAGGTGTTTATAAATGTTGGGCGCTGTAAACGCTTCTGCGCTTCACCTTATACAAGGATGTAGGGGGGTGCCCAATAAATAAATAAATAAATAAAAAAACATAAAGAACAAGTGTTATCAGTAACTACAAACCATCTATTGTGATGCTCTATTTGTTTACATAACACAAATGTTGAGTCAGTGAGGCAGGCAGAGTCTGCCACACTAGCCACAGATGCTGTTGGTACCACGGGTTATTATTGATGACTGACCCGCCGATGAGTTATTTGTTTTGATGTTTATTTCTCATTATACAGTATTTTCATCAGTGAGGACTGATATGATAATCATTTCTTGTGCAAATGCTTCGTTTGGTACATATTTAGGAGCCTAAGGTGCGAACTACTTTGTCTTCTCGGTGGTAATGCGGCAGTATTATGTTAAGGTCAGGTCAGGTCAGGGTACGGTAAGGTAAGGTTTGGTAAAAAAAAAATGCACAAACTACAGTGTCCTCTATAAAACATAGTTAAATTGCGGCATTTTTATAATCGTTTACTATGCTAAATCGCCGGTGGGTCAGTTGTCAATAATAACTGAGAATAAACATTAAAACAAGTAATACATCGGCGGGTTATTCGCCAACATTAGCCAAATTAACAAATAAGTAGAGTACTCACCCTGCAGGAGTTACAGGTGAGGCCAACGACGTCCTGCCTACAGGAACACTGACCAGTAACAATGTCGCAGCTGGAGGAAATGGATCCCCTCTCGTCACATCCGCACCCTGTAACACAAAACATTAACTTAATTAGCTTACCTCAATAATATAATTAACTTTAAATCATAATACAGTATATGGCAAAACGAATCCAGAGAAAAAGGGCACAGGTTGCGTCAGAAGCGTAAACACTTTCAGCAGACAACAGAAAGAAGTTGGAATGTACAGAAAAATGAGATATCTTGGTCATATAATTAAGGATGCACGGATAACACCACAAGTATTAATGGGCAAAGTTGAGGATAGGAGGGCCAAGGGAAGGCAGAGACTGAGATAGATGAATTAAATTAAAAACTGGGTCCCTCGGGAGATACAAAACATTAGAGGGTTGGTAAAAACAGTCAAAGAACATTTAGAGTGGAGGACTGTGGTCGCCAACCCTCAGATATGAAGACTGTACTCTGAATGATGTTTCTTTGGTATAACCCTTTTGTAACAATATGTTTTCAGTATTTTAAGATACGTCAAAATACATTAGTGATGCAAGTGAAACAACCAACATAGTAGGAGTTCTCTATATATACTATGACCTAAAATATATTTATATAAGTCTTTTGCTGCTGTCAATGTTGCAGTATGATGACAACACAATAGTTTCATGAATTATATTATATTTTTTTATAGTCATGGAAAGTAATATTCTCTTTTCAATTATTTTCAGAAGAACCGTCCGCCTTGTACCAGGACATAGACTGGACACCAACCTTGTACGGATCTGTGTCTGTAACTTAGGTAATTTTATAATAATATCTCTGCCTACTCACTTTAAGCGAATACTAAAGACTAGAAATAAGATCCATTTGGCCTGTAATCAAAAGGTTATCCATCCCTATCCGTCTTATGAAATGTGGCTAAAAAATACCGTGGAATTTCAACGCTTCTCGGTAACTTGGTAACAAAACCGTATTTTTCCATCGGTAAACTTAAGTCACCCATGCATAGTATTACCTGTTATGGAAATTAACTTAGTTACTAGACACATAAACAAGAACTTACAAACAAATTGAAAATATAATACAGCTTCAGTGTCCAGCTACGTACGAGTGATTTATGTTATGTTTATTACTGGAAGGATGTATGAGGAAGGGCGCGTTTCTTAACCCCTAAAACAGATGTGACAGTGATAACGCTTTATTAGTAAGTTTGTTAATTAAGGTGACTATTATAATAAGCTATAGCAATTATTAAGTACGATGTTGCACGTTGGTTGTGGATATATATAATGTATACTCGTAAACCGTTACCAGTGAAAATTCCCAAGTAAACCAGTACCATTGCATAGTCCGCCGTACTCGTTATCATTACACAGTACAAAAAAGAGCAACTGACGAAGATGTTTAGCTAGAGGTACTGTTTCTGGGGACAGTTAATGGTGCAGGTAAGACAATAGAGAACAAAGAGGGATATTGTAAGAGGAACGTGAGAAACATTGAACTGTGTGTGTGGATCAGTCAACAAGTGGTGAAAGACTGAAGGGAGATCCTCTCATCCCTCCCTAATGAACACCAGACCCCCAGCCAGTCCTCAAGAACCCGTGACGTCACCCTCCAAAGTATGACGTCACCCTCCAAAGTACCACGTCATCGTTCTATCGTTAACACTATTCGCCTCTAAGAGTATTCTACAGTACCAGATACACTATGGAATCTGCACAAGTATAAACACTGTGGTGACTAGTTCAGTTAGTTGGGTAGGATTAGGTTGGGTAGCTTAGGTTAGGTTAATTAAATCCAAGTAAGGTAAGGTAAGGTAGGATTAGGTAAAGTACGCACCCCAGAGTACATGATAACTGAAACGTGTACAATAATTATCGTTCACACACAACAAGATAAAACACGACAAAATATCCCTAATAAAACCATAAACAAACCGTCGAGAATTAATATACATTCTAGGGTAAACAAAGCAAGTAAAATATACGGTACAGTATACACACTCATACAAACACCACCAGAACAATATACAGTTGGAAATATACAAAACTAAAACTTGATAAACATTAGAGAGAATTATGACACTACATGTATTATTTTGAACTCTTTTGAAGTCTTCTCGTTGTTATAGGGTGGCTGGAATAACGCGCGCGCATACACACACACACTCTCTCTCTCTCTCTCTCTCTCTCTCTCTCTCTCTCTCTCTCTACAAGGCCCCAAATACCCATGTAGTTTATTTTTGTAGCGCCACACAACTTGAAATCATCCACCAACTACACTTCCTTCCCGAAATATAACACAGCCTTACACATCATATTAATAAAAGGAAGGGGGGGGTTAGGTTAAGTTAGTGTTCATGGGCCAAAAGATTATAATCAGTCAGCTTTCCATCTACGCTTTGTGGGATCACCTGTAGACTCCACCCCAGCTTATTTCACCTAAAGATTAAACACCCTAACCTAACCAAACCTCACCCCCCCCCCCAAAATACTACTATGGTGGTTAATATTTAGGGTGAATTAAGCTGGGGTGGCGATTCTTCAGGTGATCCTATAAGTGAATTTAACTAGATTTCATAACCAGATTAATTAATTTTGTAGAACACGGTCGTAATTTCCGGGTTGCTCCCTTCAATAATCTGACGAAGGCGTGGCTAATAAGATGAATATTCCTCGTAAGATTAAAAAAAAACCTAAATAGCCATAAAAAATAACAAAATGAAATATAAAAATCACACAGCAAAAAAATAAATGGAAATCTCGATTCTCAATTATAATAATTTTCCTCCATTACAGTTGTTCGGTAAAGGTGATTCTGAATAAATCACCTCAACATAAGTTACAATAAATCACCTAAAATAAAAGTTACAGTAAATCACCTAAAATAAAAGTTACAATAAATCACCTAAAATAAAAGTTACAGTAAATCACCTAAAATAAAAGTTACAGTAAATCACCTAAACATAAAAGTTACAGTAAATCACCTAAAATAAAAGTTACAGTAAATCACCTAAAATAAAAGTTACAGTAAATCACCTAAAATAAAAGTTACAGTAAATCACCTAAAATAAAAGTTACAGTAAATCACCTAAAATAAAAGTTACAGTAAATCACCTAAAATAAAAGTTACAGTAAATCACCTAAAATAAAAGTTACAGTAAATCACCTAAAATAAAAGTTACAGTAAATCACCTAAAATAAAAGTTACTGAGGTATATAAGCTGTATTTTTCAATTTTATTATTTTTTATTTTATTTATTTTTTTTTTACCTCACGTGGTGTATCATAAGTCATCCAAATGCATTCACAGGTAAGGTTAATTAGCTGTACCTGAAGTGAAATCTGAAATGCTGCTGATCTGCGTCTGAAGCCTCAAAGATTCTGTATTTTAAATTGGTCTTAATTTGTATGAGACTATTTAATAAAGGTTTATTTGATTGGATTTTGATGTAATTCTGTGAGTTATTTCCATGTAATACTCTAAGTCAGCCAATCAGATGCATTATTACATCTTTAAGTCAGCCAATCAGATACATTTAATATATCTTAAGTCAGCCAATCAGATTATTCCTACATCTTAATTCAGCCAATCAGATGCCTTCTTACATCTCCATTTACGATGAAAATTTAACGTATGTCCTAGACGTTAACCTTTCCCCTCGAAGACCCTCCAAAAGTCATCCTCAAAGAATCACCTCCAAAAATCGTCCTCTAAGAATCACCTCCAAAAATCGTCCTCTAAGAATCACCTCCAAAAATCATCCTCTAAGAATCACCTCCAAAAATCATCCTCAAAGAATCACCTCCAAAAATCGTCCTCTAAGAATCACCTCCAAAAATCGTCCTCTAAGAATCACCTCCAAAAATCATCCTCAAAGAATCACCTCCAAAATGGGTATCAACGCCAATATCAAGGGCACTACAATACCACTACAAGGGGAGATAATAATAACACCCACTTAAATGGTTGACGTGTGTGGACTTTAGTAGTAAGTGTGGACGTTAGTAGTGTGTGGTGTATGTGTGATGCTAGTGGTAGATTCAGTAAAGGGTAATGTTGTGGATAAAGAGATGTGGTTGTAGTAGTAGTAGTAGTAGTAGTAGTAGTAGTAGTAGTCACCCATGGAGTCAAGCATCGCTGGAACTACCTGATGCGCACTGTCCCTGATATCGGACCCCTCTTCCACCCCCTGGAAGAAGCTATCAGCGTCAATTTCATTCAAAAATTAGTGAAACATCCTCACCTAACCCCAGCAGAAAGATCATTCCTTGCACTACCACCGAGACTGGGAGGAATGGGACTAACCAATCCAGAGGAGATTGCTGTCACTGAGCATCAAAACTCAGTTAAGCTCACGGCAGCCCTCACGGACCACATGATAGCTCAGAACGCAACAGGGGAGGTGGATACCAGTGAAGTAAACAAGATTCGAAGATCCATTATGACAGATCGACAGCACGGCCAAAGTGACAAGTTGCAGCAACTGTTGCTGCAAATGCCAGAGAATTTGAAGAAAAAAAAAGTTGCTATAGCGCAGGAGGTGGGCGCCTCGAACTGGTTAACTACGTTACCGATAAGGGCAAATGGTTTCAGTCTCAATAAACAAGAATTTACAGATGCCATTGCTCTAAGGTACGGTAGGCTAGTAGAAGGGTTGCCCTCCCAATGCGTGTGTGGCTCTTCCTATGATGGCGATCACGCCATGGTGTGCAAGAAAGGGGGCTTCATATGCATGAGGCATGACGAAGTAAGGGACCTCACAGCAAATATGTTGAAGGAAATCTGCCGGGATGTCATGGTAGAACCGACCCTCCTTCCTTTGGATGGTGAGATCTTCCAACATAGGACTTCAAACACATCTAACGAAGCCCGTATTGACGTCAGTGCTCGAGGATTCTGGACGCGGGGACAGCGAGCTTTCTTCGACATCAGGATTTTTGATCCCATGGCCGCATGTCACCGTAACCTAGCTCTCGATGCTGCACACAGGAGGAACGAGAACGACAAAATAAGGGCATATGGGGAGAGAATTCAGAACGTTGATCAAGGCAGCTTCACTCCTCTAGTGTTCACAACCTCGGGTGGG